ACCAAGCTGCTGGGCTTTGCTCAGCTCTGTGACCTCAATACTCCAAGCCAGCCGGTGTCACAAAAGACTGCTGCTGGTGGTTTCTGTTAATTTCTCCTGCACATAAGTCTTGGGGGGGGGGGAGGGAAGTGGCAAGCATCCTCTGTTCAACCACACGAGGGCATTAAACAAAACAAAGAAAACAACTAGTTAATGGGCAGAGACCTGGTGTCATGGATTGCATGTCCCATTTCCTTAAAAGGAAAGAAAAAAGCTCAACAACTTTGACTGCCCCCCTTAACAAAAATCTTGGTGATGCCCTCTTGTGTGGGTGGGGCACAGAGGGGTTCAGAGGCAGGTGGTGTGGGGCCAACAGGCAGAGTGGAAGCAGGATGCTGAAAAAGTCAGGGAATCTCATCCTAATGCAACCAGCTCCTCTTCCCCCTGGTCTCTCAGAACATGCAGAGAAATGAAGAGGGTGGTGCAAGAGGGACCAGGTGAAGGAGCATTAGAAGCCAGGGACCCTCAGTCCTTGCAACTGCCTCACTGGGGAAAGACCTACTGATAAAAGTTGCTGTTATCACTGCATTGTTTTGGTTTCTTTGAATAATGCAGGGGTTGGCAAGGTTTACCTTGCCTGGACCAGTTCACTCCAGCAGTCCCCTCTGTGGGCTGGATTGTGAGCATGCACGTCTGCGATTTCTGGCGCCGCAGAAGCAAGTCCCCGTGCTGTGCCAGTTTAGCACAGCGCGCAGGGACTCGCCAAGCGGGTAGCTTGGTTTGGGGGTGGCTCAGGGCCGGTTAAGCAACCCGTGGGCCGCTTTGTGGCTCATGGGCCTTAGGTTGCCGACCCCTGGAATAATCAATTAGCTTCACTGACACTGGGTGTTTTACTGCTGACCTGCCCAATTGTGGCTTCTGACACCTGGAGGATCACATTTGGCCCCTGGGCTTAACAAATCTTGGCTAGGTCATATGGCTGGCTAACTTTAAGCAGGTGGGTGATGATGGAACCAGGTTTTTCCTGGCACAGGCATCTGTGCAGCTTTTGAAAGTTCATTTAAAAGTCTTCTCTGTATATTACATCCAAAATACACAATGAGTGCATACTATGCCAGGACAAGGAGCCCAGGTCATTTGCTTTACCTACATTCATTGATTTCCACCTGCAGTTGATCTTCCTGGAAATAGAAAGGAACCAGCCTCAGGAGGTTACATAGGGAACCATCCCCATGTCTCTTCTGTCATCTAAGAATTACTATTATAATGGCTAGAAATGCTATATGAAAATGCGATTTTATTGGGCTTTTGGCCTTGAAAACAGCTGTATCTAAAATCAAATTAAGTTTTGCCAGATGTTTACCCACACTAAAGCAACCTTCTTAAGAACCACCAAGGAGTGGGCAAGCAGGCCTAAAGACAGCATCAATGTGGTATGTACAGCTGCACAATAGTGCAATAGTTTTTGGTACAGACCTCCTTGTGTCCAGCAGCCAAGAAAGGAGGGCAATTTTACAAGGCTATACAAGTTCTAAGAATAAGACAAAAACTTGAGTTGCATGTGCATGGCACTTGTGCATGGCACAAGCAACTCTGGAATGTGAGTGCCCCCCTTTCCAATTCCTTCTGCAACAAAGCTGTCTGACATTACTTCCCAAAGTGGTAAACTACAGTTGACCCTTCGCCTCGAAACTAGTATCAAATTTTTGATTTGCAACTCTGGTTTGGTGGGAAGGAAGCACAAACCTTAATTTGGTAGCTCGGATTGAGCAGCAAACTATGGTTTGCTCTGAAGAGGGAGGTACAGGGAAAGAGGGCAGGAAAGTGTGCATGAAGCTGAAACTTACATGTAATGCCAAACTAGTTTAAGTGCTTTCTTTGGGTTGGTTCAGGTGCAACTTTTTTGGCTGTGAGAATTCTTATGAATTTGTAAGCGGTCAAGAGAAAACACCACATTTTAACACTCCCAAATGTACATGGCACACATTCCATACCACATGACAAAATGAAGAGTTTAGCAACACAAAACTGTTTATTATTTATTAAATGACACAAAATACCTAGATAACAGACTCACTCTTTTTAAAGGACACATATTTACATTATTTACCAAAGGAAAGACTTGCTGTACCCATCCACTGACTTTGAAATTTTCACTCTTTTTTTTTGCACTGAAGGATGCAATGCCCCATTTGCAGACCTGTGTATGTAGAACATTTTTTTTGAAGGAACAGGTTATTTCTCCCTCCCACAAATGTGTGCCTCCTTCCACAACCCAACTCCAAAGGTATTCTTCTGAATATCTTCTTTATACAAAAAGTATATTACATTTTTGAATGCTGCTGTACTCTTAGAACTTTAAAGTGTGTTTAAAAGGAGGAAATGCTCAAAAATGAAAGTGATACTTTAAGAATGCACAAAACCAAAAACATTTTGTCTTAAAAAGAAAGTTACGACAGATGCTCTGCTTTGGAAAAGTTAAGAGACCAGGACACACACACATATATATACACACAAACAGAAAAATAAGCATCTGAAAGAGATCAGGAAAGTAAAACCATAGCTAACGTAAGTTTTTTTAAATTCTACTTTTTAAAAAGTTTACCATATATACTTTGGCACCTTTTTGTAAGCTAAAGAACAAAACAATCTTTACAACACATTTGCCATTAGTTTTGAAACAAAATGGTCACGGTTTTCTTTAAAATGTATTTAAATCAGAAAGAAAGAAAAAAATAATTCATTTTGTAGGGTATAAAGTTTTTTTTTTTTTACAAATCCCCCAAACAAAAATATTTGTCAGAATAAATTTGCAGTTTTTAAAAGAAATGCAACTGCTTTGAACTGCACACAACAAAGGAAGATCTGAAAATGTCTGGCCAGACAGACTGTTTGGGTCGCAGTCTAACCCCACTGCAAGAAAATGTATTTATATATATCTATTATAAATATCTTTATGGCTCAATAAAGCAGGCACATGATTCCAGCAAAAAACAGGAAAAAGAAAAAAGTTGCTGGAGAATATGGCTGGAAAGTAGTTTTTGCCATAGCTCAATATCAATTACAGGAAGATAGGGAAAGTGACTTAGTAATTTAGTAATGCTCATTGGGGGAAAAAATGTGAAGCAAAGGCATAGTTTGTTAGTTTTCTTATTTGTTCATATTTTAACACACTGCTTCTGGAAAATGTTTTTTGCAGAAATGTGACAATTGAATGGATCACAATCACAATTGTGGGCACATTTCAGAATAGGATTAAGGTGCAGTTTCCAAAGAACTTACCCCAGATAAGAGTTTGCTCTAGCTGAAAGTCATCTTTTAAAAGGAATTATTTCCTTCCCCAAAAGGCATTCAAATCACAAATTTGTATCAGGCACACCAAATTGTACAGCAGCTTTCATTTCCATCCATCCCCCGTTGTGAACTCCTCCTAAGTTTATTTTCTATAAATAATGCTCATTCTGGGGGACACTTTTGAGAAACATCACATATAAGTGGAGCAAGGATGGCAACAGCAGAAGAGGCATTCTGCAGGTGACGCAGAACAATCTTTCAAAGCACATCCTGTGATGAATTCTTAGTTACCGTCTCCCCAAGATTTCCCAAACCTCACTTGATCTAGCAACATTACTCTGTAAATGGCAGGCTCTCGTACTTGAAATGGGTCTATTTTGCTGCAAGCATTGCCCTTTCCTAGGTGACCGGGGCAGAATCTGAAGATAAGCCATCAAAAGATTTTCTGGCTTAAGTAGTTGTGGGGAGCTTTGGGAAGTCAGCTCTGGTGAGCTGTAACTGTTATCAATACTGTGTCATGCTCAGTATAGAATTGCTCAGCTTTTGTTAAACAGGAGCACTCCAACAGAAGCCTGAAGAGAAACCATGAGAACAAAAACAAATTTAACAAACAACATTCAGAAAAGTTGAGCTTCAAAAACAATGTAACACACAATACAAGGTTGAGGATATGATTTTCCCCCCACCCCTGCAGCCAAGCTAATGTCGACCCATTCGTGGGTATAAAGGTTGGGGGGGGGTGAAGGTTGTTCCAAAGTCAGAAAGAGGCTTCAATGCCCTTGTTGCCTTTCCCAACTTCCTGGTATCTTCTGAGGGTTGTGCAATACTTGAAGAAGACTAGCTTTCTAGATTCTTTGCAGCTATACAGTTAAGGAGAGCCTGGGAAGCCTGGCAGATTGATTCAAGGCACAATGCAGCTGACATTAGATGCATCTCTACAAAAAAGCCATCTAGATTCCTGGCCCAATAGGAAGCCCCATAGGATTCTGCAAAGGATGAAACCCCCCTGCTTTTTGTTCTTGTAGTGCTTACGTAAAGACAGAGGGAATCACAAACCAACAACTGTGGTATTATTAATTTCTGAGTATACAGTGTTAACATTTTCTTCTTTGCAATACTAAAAAAATGTATTTTACTAATACTAAAATACATTAATAATGTTTTTTATTTGTTTGAAGGCAATAGCAAAGGGAGCATCAGTAGTTTTAACCCCTGCACTTTCAAGGTTGCACAAATCCAAGCATGGGGTGCCACAACAACGAACAGTATCAGCCTTACAAGTGCATTCACAGGAGTGTAATTTTATTTCCAAAGAAATAAAAACTTGGGTGAACGTGAGATTGGCCTTTGTTATTCAGAGTGATAGTGAAATCAATACTTTGGCAGTTTATTATCAAACCCTTAAAAAGGACTTCCCTTTAGACCAAGGACCCAATGGAACCACAAAGACCAGATACTTCCATAGAGTTTTCTGCACACCATACTGAATATCATGCAAAGAGTTCAACAGCATTCTTCTGAAAATGTAAATACCAAAATGGGCATGTGAAAATCAATTGAAATGCCCACTCCATTATACCCCCACCCCACCCCTTATGTTGCTTCCATTCAGCCACTGGTAGTAGAAAAAGTTAATTTAATGGGATCAACAGGTTTGCTTATCCATCAGCAACCAAGTAGAACACCAAGTGTGCAGAAAAGGAAAGAAAGAAAGGCCCAATTTGTGTTTATGCAATGTAGTTGTACTGGTTTGGGTTCTCCTTGTCTCTTTCCATGTAGTCTCTGTCAATCAACGACTCTATTCTCTTCTTAAGGTCTGCGGGCTGTGAAAGCAATTCAGGAAGTCAGCAACCATTTTTTAATCATGGTAGTATTAAAATATGTATATAATGATCATTCAGTTTTTACATATTAGTGTACTAATTCAATTCCTTCACATGGGTGCAAAGGTTTATAAACAGAAAGAAATTAAGATTCACAACACAGGTGGACTTTGGACATGCACTTTACTGCATCTACAAAATCTTCCTATTCTAACAACACATAGCATATAGGCATAGGTTCTGAGTGCTGAAAGCTCACAGCCTTCCTAACTTATCCTATATTGGAATTCTTTATCATTTGCTGACTAAATCTTTTGGTTTTGCTATACTAAAGGTAAAGGTAAAGGGACCTCTGACCATTAGGTCGCGGACGACTCTGGGGTTATGGCGCTCATCTCGCTTTATTGGCCAAGGGAGCGGGCGTACAGCTTCAGGTCATGTGGCCCGCATGACTAAGCCACTTCTGGCGAACCAGAGCAGCGCATGGAAACGGCGTTTACCTTCCCGCCGGAGCGGTACCTATTTATCTACTTGCAGTTTGTGCTTTCGAACTGCTAGGTTGGCAGAAGCAGGGACCCAGCAACGGGAGCTCACCCCGTTGGGGGGATTCGAACCGCGACCTTTTGATTGACAAGCCCTAGGCTCTGTAGTTTAACCCACAGCGCCACCCGCATCCCTTTTTGCTACACTGGACATTCTCAATAACAAAACTATTTTTATCTTGAAAGTTCTGTAACAAGCAGAGAATTTGCAGGACTAATTTTGATGCCGATAGTTTAAGCAAGAACACTCATACTCTACCTTTACTGGGAATTTAAGCTGGTTGTATACTTCAGACACGAGCAGATTGTGGCTCAACGTCTTGCGCATTTTCATGATTCTCACAATTGCAGCATCAATTTGGTACTGACGATCCTGAAAGACTCTCTCTGTAGTGCTTGCTTGTTCTTCCACCTGCAGGAGCAGAACATTTTGGGGGGAAAGCATATCAGAAATGGAAAAACTGTTTTAATTATGTCAACTGGTGAATGGATTAATTTAAATCAGCCATTAATTTGGGATGGGTGGATGAAATTACATTGGTGTTCCATGAGGTACTACTTCCGATAAGAAAGGCCACCCCCCTAAACCTGAATATCCTAAATATATCTTTGTATTCTAAGTCACCTGCTTCTACACAAGCCATCTCTGTTCATCAAGTTAATTATTTGGGTGTCGCCATTTAGAAGTCAGGCAGGCAAGCAATGACTAATATTTAGGATCTCTCAGGAGGAGAATCCTGCCTTTGAAATACCTTTCCCATAACTGTATACACCTACTATCCTGCATTTTAAGCACCAGTTTGAAAAGCCGTTATTTGTTCAGGCCTTTGCAATAGTTTTTAAAGGCTGATTATTGTACATCTGGCTAAGAATAAACAGGAGTCCTGCTAGATCATACCCAAGGTCTAGCTGATCCAGCAATCTGTTCTTGCAGTGGTGAACTGGACACCACTGAGAAGCTTATAGAAGGGCATGAGCACAACAGCCCTCGGCCATTCATAGTCCAACATGTGGTGTTCAGTAGCATCCTCTCTACAATACTGGAACAAGTACTTGGCCATCATTACTAGTAGTCATTGATAACCTATTCCTCCATGGATTTGTCTAACCCCTCTTTAAAGCCATCCAAACTGGTGACTACCGCTACATTGATTCAAATGATGTTTTAGTGTTTTATGACTTCTATAGCTTTAAAAAAACAACAACTGCCCTGTTTGCTTTCATTTTTAAATGGTAAAGCTGCATGGAAAGTGATTTTTTTTTTTTACATTAAATAAATATTAAGTCTTTTTGCTGGGGTGCGGGCAGTGTCAATGAGAAGAATGCACATTTTGTAACACCAACAGCAACTGAAAAACTGTGTGGGGTGTAAGACCTGGTGGCTCAGAGGAAGCTCTGATTTAAACATTTGCGATGAAACATGATTTCCACCCTCCTCCTGGTCATCTTTTAGAGGGCTTTTAGCGGCAGGAAGGAAATGGAAATAAACCAGTACAGTGGTACCTCTGGTTGCGGACGGGATCCATTCCAGAACTCTGGTCAGACCCCGAGATTTCCGCATCCGGAGGGACCGCTTCTGCACATGCGTGCACGCATGGTGGCAGACCACTTCTACGCATGCAAGAAACACTTCCAAGTTTGCCACTTTCGCAACCTCAAGTTTATGTTAGCTGAGGGTAATGTAAGCCGAGGTGCTACTGTATATTATAAGAATAAGCTATAGCTAACAAGCCACCCAGCAAGGAACTGATGGCCATGAATAATTCAGCAGTAAGCATGCAATGTAAATAGATGCTTTGCCAAACACTAGGAAAATGAAAATCTAATTTAATGTAAAAGACAGCTTTCGTTTGTAATGAGTCAATAGCAAGTGTCTTGATGTCCCAAGCTCAGAAAAAAGAAGTTTGTGTAACCCCTCCCTCTGGCATATCAAATAGCTCCTGATGACTCCAGCAGCATAAATGGAAAGCTGGAGTCAACATAGCTGCCAGTGATCTGCTTCTGGGTGATTTAGGCCACTGATCAGGCGACCAGATAACATATGTCAGTAATATGAAGGGGGTGGGGGGGAAACAGGTACCGTTTCTTTCATCTGGATCTGATTGATTTTTATCCTGAATAGCTTATGCCTGAAGTCATCATTGCAGGTAAATTTGTCACCATCTTCCACATCTTTGCCTTTGGGGCTTTTTGTTAGCACTCTGGCCTTGCCACAGGCTAGCGACTGCAGGGTTCGTCGGAGCTCTCCATCCTCTACAATAGAAAGGACATGGTTTAGTTTTTTAGTCACTAGTACTCAGAAACAACAAGGAGCATCCAATACTAACCTATTCCAGTAGCTTGTTTTATCTCCTCTAAACTGAATTCTTCACCTTCGTTAAACATAAGCAGCACTAAAGTCTGGAATAATGAAACCTGCAGCTCCTTTTTTCCCTGTCAGAAAAAAAGAATGATAAAAACATTTCTGCATTTCCTTAGAAAACTTAAGAAATTTGTTTAATGATAGTTCTATATGCATGCAGAGGGAAGTCCTACAGCTTGCAGAAATAACATCCATTCTGCAGAAAAGGAAATATTATCCACATGACAACTGTGTTGTCTTTAGAGCAGAGTACTTAATGCCCTATGAAGACATAATGTGTAACTATGGTTTGCCTTCCTTAACTATGTATCTGAAACACTTAGACCAGTTTAGGATTGGCTATGAATGTGGTTGTGAAATTGCACACAGTCTGAATTAACAATGCTGAAATCTATACCGAGCAAACCCTCATTAGGACAGTTTTCCCGATTCTCCAGCTATTCTGTCTTCCTAATGTTTCCCTGTTTCCAGGCTTAATTCAAAGTGCTGGTTTCAACCTATAAAGTCCTTTTACAACTTGGAAACCAATACAAGTCTATGCTCATCCAGGGTTCAACCCCCCACAAATATATTTATATTTATATTTGGGGGGAAATGACCCTAATTGAATACTTTTGATGGATCATGGAAAGCCTTGTTCTTGTGGGTATTCACCAAAAGATGGGCATTTCATCCAATGATGGCACAGGATGTTGGTGGCAGAACTGATGAAGAAACGAAAGCACATTAAATGAAATAAGGCAGAAATGGTTCAATAAAGCTGAACAAAAGCCAGAAACCAATTTTAAAAAATGGGATTGATCACTTAAAAAGACCTGTTACATTCCACATTTACTAAATGACTTCAATGAGTGATTAACACTATACTGGTAAGAAAACATTACCTCTTTAAATTCTGCTTTGAGTACACAGTGTCCTAATGTTGATTGCCACTGAAGTTTTCTGCCACTGTGCTTTCCCAGGTAAAATGTCTTGAATATCTCTTGCAGTTTCACCATCTGAAGAGAAGAGAAATATGAGCTTAAAGTTGAAATGATCAACTACTATTTCCTTATTTCTGCCCTTCCCCCCCTCTACTTTTTGACTGCTTATCTGAAAATGCTCTATCACTATTATATTTGTACCATGAAACTTTATACAAGTCATTTTAATACCAGCATTTTACAACCAAAAGGGTTTAAGATTAGAATTAGTTTCTAATCTTCAATTAAGAACTGCTAGTTTCAACTAAGTAAATCTTTATTGTGCCACAGCTTCTTAAGAGATTTAATAAAGTCACCTCTATCCCAAATTGTTTAAATATACTTTTTTAAAAAAGTGCAAGAAGCTTCAACTCTTCTCAAAGTTTTGTACATTTATTTTTGCTGCTACAAAGGGAGAGGCTCCCAAACTACTTACTTAACCTACTTAATTTAAATAACCACCCCTCAAAATATTCAATCTAAAGCTTGATGCAATCTCAGACGTTTCTTGGCCATCTCCCAGCTTTCTAATTATTAGGTAACTAATGTTTAATTTTAATCAGTAGTTTATAGTCATCAGCATCACAGAAGGGCAGTAAATTTATTTCATTTTGGAAGTGTTGTTCAGCTATCTTACCTCTGGTGGCAAGTGCACCTCCATAGGCACATAGGTTGGCCAATAACCCATAGTCAAGATGTTCACGGTGAGTTCAATGTTACCAGGTACATTCTGATTTTGCATATACTACAACAGAATCAAATGGACAAATTTGCCATACAGAACTACAAACAAGCTACAGGCATTATTAGCCATTCACCCACTCCATATTTAGATCCTATCCTTTCTCCAAGCTGCTCAGAGTGGCAGAAATCAACTCCCACCTCCCCACTCAATCACCTTGAAACTAACAGAGATGGAAACTGGGCATAGGTGACCCCGTAAATTTCATGAAATTGAAACCCAGATTTTTCAAGCTGAATTTCCTTATCTACTGCTACATCATACTAGCTCCAACAAAAAACAAAAATCCTTAACAGCATTACAAATTTGGCATGCAGAAGCCAAAATGTGTTGATGGAACTAAAGTATGAGTAGTTCAGTTGGTAGAGCATGAGACTCTTAATCCCAGGATTGTGCGTTCAAGTCCCACATTTGGCAAAAGATTCCTGGATTGCAGGGGGGTTGGACTAGATGACCCTTGTGGCCCCTTCCATCTCTACAATTCTATGAGAGGCAGGTATGCGTGTTGTGAGAAAGCAAAGCAAGAGGGAGTCCTTCCAATGTCCTTTTCAGATGTAACTGAACACAAGCGGATAATGATGAAATAAGGATGGCCACTTTGTACCCATACCTGCTTAAACTGTATCATGATGTCTTTAGAAAGCTCCATGTCTTTAAACATTCCTTCAAGTTTACTGGTGAAAGCAGCTCCACATTCTACAAAAGGACAGTTGTGTATTGAAGTTGCAGTTAGGAATTTTGTCACTGTCAACAAGTGACTAAGAGGGCATCATTAACAAGAGGGCAGAGATATATTTTCTGTTTCAGTTCAAGTTGAAGATTAGGGCAGTATTGCAGTACTGCTCAGGAGTGGCTGGTTTGGTGGCCACTACTGCAGCTTGGTTCTGCTGGTGTTCCCTCACTACTCTGTCCTAGTAAAGCAGCAGTGACACTGTCTTTCAGGAATCCTTCACACATGACATTGTTTTTCTATACAGTGGTACCTCGGGTTACATACGGTTCAGGTTATATACACTTCAGGTTACAGACCCCGGTAACCCAGAAATAGTACCTCGGGTTATGAACTTTACTTCAGGATGAGAACAGAAATTGTGCTCCAGGGGCGTGGCGGGAGCGCAATGCCCCGTTAGCTAAAGTGGTACTTCAGGTTAAGAACAGTTTCAGGTTAAGAACGGACCTCCGAAACAAATTAAGTACTTAACCTGAGGTACCACTGTACAGGAATACGCTCTGTGCAGGAAAAAGGTATGCACATCACAACGGCTAAAGAATACTCAAGTGACTTATTGTACAAAAACATATATTGGGGGTTTCCTATGAGAAGTATACAGAGAAGAAATTAGCAGAGGATAAAACAAAAAAACCTTACCATGTTTGAGCTTGGAAAGCATAGATTTTTCAGCATCGACTGATGCACTTTTGCCAACTAATAGCCGCTTTGCTAAATCTTTTTTGTAAAAGGCCTCAAAAACATCTTTTCCTGTAGAAGAGAAGCAGATTTAAAGCTCCTTTCCAAGTACATGTTCTCCAGAGGAGAACCCTGAAGCTCCCCTCATTCCAAACAGGTCTAGGGGCTTGATAGATTATTTTGAGATGGCAGAGAGATCCAGTGGAAGGTTTGACCCAACCTTCTTATTATTTCCTCAGAGTGGCTCTATGTTAGAACCAGTTGCTATCTATGCATTCCGACCCACCAAATTTAACAACAGAAATAGTTTACAGATTCATTTTTAAAAATCAATGTGGGTTAAGGCAATGAACCTGAGTTATGCAATCTTGCGTATTTAATTAACTCTGATTCCTGCAGACCTAAACCCCAAAACAAGCTGGGAGAATAACAGTCTTATTCTCATTCATTAAGTCTTATTCAGTCAGCATTATTGGGCCTATATTTTTTGCTGATATGCATGGGTGCCTAATGTAAAGAAGAAGACCAGGTCTTACCATAAATAAACCTAAATATAATCATAATTTTATCCAACATCTTTTCGAGCTCTTCATCAGTAGCCTCTTTGTTACCTGCACGAAGCTTTGAATCCACATACTTAGCTGAAGAAACACAAAACCAAAAAGGAAGAGATAGATCTGAGTAGGAACTCCTTAAGCAAGTCTTAGTTTACTCTTGACTAGGCTAGTGTTCTATAACCTCTACTGGCTCATTGTCAGTTCTAACAGAAAAGAAGTGTCATGCCAGCAACAGTCTTAGCATCTACCAAACGTGACATCACTGTGGAAAGCAAAAGGGAACTTAAAACTCTGAGCATTCAAAACCACCATCTTCTCCAGCCTACCTTGCTGCTCCTAAGTACAGTGGCACCTCTGGATGCAAATGGGATCCGTTCCGGAGCCCCGTTCGTATCCTGAGCAGAATGCAACCCACGTCTGTGTGGGTGGTCTGTGCATGCGTGAGCGGCGAAATCCAGAATTAGCCCGTTCCATTACTTCCGGGTCGCCGCGGAATGCAACCCGAAAACGCTCAACATGAAGCTACTATAACCCGAGGTATGACTGTCTGACCAATTCTTAAATATCAGGTCTGATTGGAAGTCAGCCCTCTTATTCCCTCACAGCCAAGGGGCTGCAAAGCTCCATCAGAGGAACTAGACTGACCCAGAACCAAACTCAGAAATACAACCTTGCACAAGGTATCTGCTAGCTTTAATAGGTATTTCACTAGACTATAATTGTGCCAGCTGTGATTATATGAATGTGTCCAGGAGTGCTGGAGTTGCTGTCCAAGTTGGTTGCTGTCTTCTATCACTTGCCTTTTCTCCAAACTAAAGAGCCCCAAATGTTGTAATCTTTTCTCAAAGGGGAGTTACTTCATTCCCTTGATCATCTTGGTCACCCTTTTCTGAACCCTTTCCGGTTTCACAATATCCTTTTCGAGGCAAGGGAATGAGAATTGTACAGGGCATTCCAAGTGTGGTTGCTCCATATATTTGTGTAACGGCACTATAGTATTAGCAGCAGCTTTGTTTTGGATGCCTAATGATTACTAGCATGCAATTCATCTTTTTCACATGGTTCAGCATCTTCACTGAGCTTTCCACTACCATCTTGAGACTATTATTAGTAGGTGTCTTAATAAGTTGAAATAACAAGAAGAAGAAGTACCTATAAGCTCAGCTGGTTTATTTGGTCTTTTGTTGATGAAGGTCTCAAAGGCTTCTTTCATGGCATTAACAAACTTCTCGTTCTTCAAAAAGCAAATGTCAATTATATGATCAACTTTATCCTTGAAGTCTAGTAGCTCTTGGACCATGGTTTTGTCTTTTTCTGGATTGATTACTATGGTGCTGCCGAATGCCTGCGAAGGAGGAAAGTTATTTATCACACACTTGTGCTGGATGCCACATATAGTTCGAACAAGATCCAGTGCGTAAGCACACACATTGCATGCTTTACACAAAAGCAGTATGCACTAACCAATTTATTGCCTACTTCATTGCACCCTGCCCTTTATTCAAGGAGCTCAAGGTGGTGTACATGGTTCCTACACCCCCATTTAATTACCACAACAACTCAATGAAGCTGGTACAAAGTCAGCCAGGGAGCTTTATGTTAACCCATGAAGATTTTCAGAATGTTAAGTCAAGAAAGGGAATGAAATGGATCCCATAGAGATGATGGCTCCTCACTGTGCTCACAACAATGCTGATGTGCAAACTTGTTCAGCCTATATTTTAGAAAACTATGGTGACAGCTTAACCGCATGATTTGTCATATATGGCTTATAAACCAAGATTTTGCAGACATCTTTCCCCACCTCAGTAAATTTAAGACTTGCTCCTCCAAGTTAACTTTTCGAAATAAGTCACATATTGATACCTTTATATATTCAATCCATTGCTGCAAGAGAGCTTGCACTCCATTTTTCACCCTACTGAACAACTGATACAATAGAGACAAATCCTGAATTCGATTTTCATCCAGAAGGTGATTTAAACCTGCAAGATAAAGATGTGTTACTAATTACTCCAAATGAAACAAATGCAATTGAGAATATTTAAGAAACTACAGGTCTAAAAGTTGGGGAGAAGACTGAAATTGAGACAACAGATGAATTGAGAAATCACATTGGATGAGACAGTTTTCAGAAGTGAAGGTCTTAAATCTATTGCTGAGGCTGCTGCTCCTGCCGCATGATTTCTAGTGAAGAATGGTTTTTTTATCATTAAAATGATAACATTGAAAAAATGGTGGCAAGGGGAATAACAATGTACACCTTCACAAACTCCTAGGATAAAGGATGGGATAAAGCAAAACAAACACTTCCATTCTGCACAGCTAGAGGGAGCAATTTCAGTGCTTTCACACACCCCATAATAGTAAGCAAAATGTGATTTTAAAAACACCCCCTTTCCCTCCACCAGCTTTGGCACAATAATGGCAGCATTCCTGGATGTTGCTCTAGAGTCTCGTGGACAATGCTTCTGTCTGTATCTCATGCACCCAACTCCCACCAATATGGGTTACAGGCTCTCTGGTAATCCTATGTTAACTGCCCTTCAGGAAAAGCAGATTTCATTCTCTTTGAAAAGCATGGTGTCTTAAGCATAATGACCATTTTAAAAGGCAAGAAAGCAAAACATTTAGTTTATCTCACCTATCCCTTGTTCTCCACTGAAAGTTGACATCCATATTGCCTTGAAACTCTTAATGCCATATAGGGTTGACAAATCTTATTGGACAACCTATACCCAAACTTTCTCTTTTTCTGTTCCTAGGAATATTATGTTTTCATTCTCAAACACATCTGAAGGCACTACAGTGGCTCCTTTCCTGCAATGAGGACAGGACTTGCAAGCAGGGGGGTAGCAAGGGGTGTGTGGTGAGTGCAGTCTGCTCCAGGTGCCATCGGGGGGGGGGGGGTGACAAAATGCCAGCTGAACTAGTCTTTAAATTTGTACTTGAGGCAAAGGGCGTGCACGCAATTACCTCAAGGAACCAAGCGGGGTTGAGACTGAGTTGCATCATGCGCAGTTGGCCAGGCCAGGCCCTGCTCTCCCTGCCTGAGCACGTGCTGGGATGGGCCCCCGCGATAGAGCAGAGGCAGAAGGGATGCCACAGAGCCCTGCCTGCGGGTGCCACCGCCTGTTCCTCCTGTGTGCCCTGCCCTGCGCTTCTGGGAACACCAGCGTTGGCCCAGTGTGTGTGGGGGGGTGGGTGGGCTCAATGCAGGCATCAATGGTATATTTGCTTGTTGATGTGACATTCAGACTAAAAATCAACTGAAACCCATTCTTTATTACCTTCAACTGGATTTATAACTGTGAATTGTGAATACACCTTGGCTGGAGTGGTTTAAAGAAGACTGAGTTTGTTTTCAAAGAATTCTTATAAATTGGAATTTTAAATTTGGAACAGACTAGAGAAGCTGAAATATTGATAAGGACTGGATATGCCTATGCCTTTTTGAAAGGAGAAACTATTTCTACAAAGATTGCTGGGAAGGTGGTGCCAGGACCCAGGCAGAATCTGGAAGCATCTGAGAGTCCCTACCCTGCCTTCTTAAAGTTGGAAGCTGGGTGCGCTTATAAAAATGCTAGGAGAGATAAACTGAAACTTGAAAGATTGGAACAGGTCAGAAAGGCTGAAACATCAAAAGAACTGCATATGTCTACACAGTGGTACCTCGGGTTCAGAACTTAATTCATTCTGGAGGTCCGTTCTTAACCTGAAACTGTTCTTAACCTGAAGCACCACTTTAGTTAATGGGGCCTCCCGCTGCCGCCATGCGAATTCTGTTCTTATCCTGAAGCAAAGGTCTTAACCCGAGGTACTCTTTCTGGGTTAGCAGAGTCTGTAACCTGAAGCGTCTGCAACCCGAGGTACCACTGTATTTTGCTGAAAAGAGAAACTATAAGGATCTTCAATTGTTTGCAACTCCTTATAGACATTTCTAGGGAATTGGATGACTGAGAACTATCTACTCTTCCCTGGGAAAATAAGTCATTACTTATACTTTCTGGACATGCTGTTGTTGTTTTTTTGTGTGTGTGTGTTCTTTTTAATGTAAATATTTGTGTACTTTGAATGTTAATTGGAAATTTGGATTTTATTTTAAACTGTATATGTGTAATGGGTAACTGGGCTGGAGGGAAAGTACAGGAAGCGGTGTTTCCTGGGAAAGTGGCCTTGACAAAGTGATAAGTACTGCTGTAAAACTGACTGTTTTGAGAACCAGGGAAGGCAGAGTAGATTATGTGAATTCCACACGGTCCTGAGTATTTTGAGTAGTTAAAAACATATCAAGGAACAAGGTTTGCTTGGAATTGAGGGGACTTTTCTTTGTGTGGAAAGAAGAATTGATTAAAGAGATGAAGGAAATTTAGCAGACAAGATTCGAGCCCAAATGGATGAAAATATTGAAATAGTGTCAGAACTGACTACTAAGATAGAACCATTGATAACAGAAGAATTGAATGTCTTGAAGCAAGGAAGGGAGGAAATTAGGAAAAATGGATGAGACTAACATGAAAAAAACTCAGGAGACACATAGGGTAGATATGGATGGTAGGGGTGGGAAGCAGGCAACACTTAAGAATGCCTTGATGATTGAAAAGAGATTAAAAATACAGTCTCTGAGACAATGTTAGGGGAAAAACATTTTAGGTGCTTATGATCACAATGGTAAGTAAATAAACCAGAAAATAACACTTGTGTAAGTATAATTCCTTTTAATAATTTCAATGGGGGGGGGCTGACAAAAAAAATTCTACACCGGGTACCACCTGGCCTTGCTACTGGAATCAACAAGGGAAACCCACATGACCTGAAAGTGTTGCTGTGCAATGCCAGGTCAATGATGAATAAAACCTCTGCCATCCACGACCTGATTGTGGATGGAGGATTTGACCTGGCATGTGTGACAGAGACCTGGTTGGATGAAGCAGATGGGCCCGTCCTTGCCGCTGCTTGTCCACCGGGTTTCTCTTACGCACAGCAACCCAGGCCTTGTGGGCGGGGAGGGTCTGTTGCAGTGATTTTTAGGAAGTCATTAGTTTGCACCAGGCGTCCTATTGGAAAGACCCAGTTCTCTGAGTGCATGTTCTGGAAGTTGGGCAATAGGGGCAGTACAGGATTCCTATTGGTGTACCGACCTCCCCGCTGCACCAAGGATTCCCTGCCCGAGCTGCTTCAGGTCGTGGCGGATGTCCTCCTGGAGACACCTAGTTTGGTTGTCCTAGGGGACTTTAACATCCATGCCGACACGACCTTACAAGGGGCCGCTCGGGACTTCGTGGAAAGCATGGCCTCCATGGGGCTGTCCCTGAATAAGTCTGGCCCAACTCATAGCCACGGGCATGCCTTAGACCTGGTGTTCACCTCTATGGATGTTGGTGATCTGACATTAAGTAAAAGCGAAACCAAAGAAGTGCCATGGTCAGATCACTTCCTGGTGCAACTGGACTTCTCCGTGACCCTTCCCCTCTGCAGGGAGGCGGGACCGATTCAGATGGTCCGCCCCCGCCACTTAATGGATCCAAATGGTTTCCAGAGAGTGGTAGGGGATGTTTTATCCCATGTTGATGGCCTTTCAGCTGATTCCCTGGTGGCCCGCTGGAATGTGGAGTTAACCAGGGCTATTGACTGTTTGGCTCCAACGCGCCCTCTCCGATTGCATGGAGTCCGGACAGCCCCGTGGTTTTCCACGGATCTGAGGGCAATGAAACAATCGTTGAGACGGCTAGAGCGCCGGTGGCGGATAACCCATTCTGAATCTGACCGGACACGGGTTAGAGCTCAATGTCGAGCCTACCAAGTGGCGATAGCGACGGCGAAGAAGACTTTCTTCACCGCCTCTATTGCATCTGCGGAAAACAGCAGCAGGAGACTCTTTCAGGTGGTTCGCAATTTAGCGGAACCACCTGCTCCATCAGGGCCCAGTAGCGGCCACATGATCTCCTGCAATGACTTTGCAAAGTTTTTTGCAGATAAAGTCGCTCAGATTCGAGAAGAGGTAGACTCCACCGTGGGAGCAGGGCCGGGGCGGGAGAGTGCTAGAGTCCTGTCTAGTCAAGTTGTGTGGGATCAATTCCAATCTGTTACCCCCGAGGATGTGGACAGGCTGCTTGGACGAGTGAAACCAACCACTTGCCTCCTTGATCCTTGCCCATCCTGGCTTATAAAAGCTAGCCGGGAAGGACTGGGCGATGGGCTTCGTGGGGTGGTGAATGCTTCCCTCCGTGAGGGAGCCTTCCCAGACCCGCTGAAAGAGGCGGTTATTAAACCGCTTCTTAAAAGACCATCTTTAGATGCGGCCACAATAGCCAACTATCGCCCAGTCTCAAATCTTCCATTCTTGGGCAAGGTGATTGAGCGAGTGGTTGCTGAACAACTCCAGGCACGCCTGGAAGAAGCGGACCATTTGGATCCCTTCCAGTCGGGATTCAGGCCTCATCATGGGACTGAAACTGCCTTGAGTCGCACTGGTTGATGATCTCCGGCGGGCTAGGGACAAAGGTGAGTGCTGTTTCCTAGTTCTGCTGGATCTCTCAGCGGCGTTTGATACCATCGACCATAACATCCTTCTGGACCGTCTTGAGGGGCTGGGAGCTGGGGGCACTGTTATACAGTGGTTCCGCTCCTTCCTCCTGGGCCGTGTTCAGAAAGTGGTGGTGGGGATGAGTGTTCAGACCCCTGGGCCCTCACTTGTGGGGTGCCTCAGGGTTCTGTCCTCTCCCCCATGCTTTTCAACATCTACATGAAGCCGCTGGGAGAGATCATCAGGGGATTTGGGCTGGGTGTTCATCAGTATGCAGATGATACCCAGCTCTATCTCTCCTTCAAATCAGAACCAGTGAAGGCAGTGAAGGTCCTGTGTGAGTGCCTGGAGGCGGTTGGAGGTTGGATGGCGGCTAACAGATTGAGGTTGAATCCTGACAAGACAGAAGTACTGTTTTGGGGGACAGGAGGCGGGCAGGTGTGGAGGATTCCCTGGTCCTGAATGGGGTAACTGTGCCCCTGAAGGACCAGGTGCGCAGCCTGGGAGTCATTTTGGACTCACAGCTGTCCATGGAGGCACAGGTCAAATCTGTGTCCAGGGCAGCTGTTTACCAGCTCCATCTGGTACGCAGGCTGAGACCCTATCTGCCTGCGGACTGCCTCACCAGAGTGGTGCATGCTCTGGTTATCTCCGCTTGGATTACTGCAATGCGCTCTACGTGGGGCTACCTTTGAAGGTGACCCGGAAACTACAACTAATCCAGACCGCGGCAGCTAGACTGGTGACTGGGAGCGGCCGCAGAGACCACATAACACCGGTCTTGAAAGACCTACATTGGCTCCCAGTACGTTTCCGAGCACAATTCAAAGTGTTGGTGCTGACCTTTAAAGCCCTAAACGGCCTTGGTCCAGTATATCTGAAGGAGCGTCTCCACCCCCATCGTTCTACCCGGACACTGAGGTCCAGCACTGAGGGCCTTCTGGCGGTTCCCTCACTGCGAGAAGCCAAGTTACAGGGAACCAGGCAGAGGGCCTTCTCGGTAGTGGCGCCTTCCCTGTGGAACACCCTCCCACCAGATGTCAAAGAGAACAACAACTACCAGGCTTTTAGAAGACATCTGAAGGCAGCCCTGTTCGGGAAGCTTTTAATGTTTGATGTATTATAGTATTTTAATATTCTTTTGGAAGCCGCCCAGAGTGGCCGGGGAAGCCCAGCCAGATGGGCGGGGTATAAATAATAAATTATTATTATTATTATTATTACTACGCCACTGCTTGCAAATCACCATTTCGTATATGGAACTGAAAGCCCTGAAGAAGCAGTAAGAAGAAAGATTTATATGAAGAAAGATAGGTTACCTTTCTGTAGAATGGCTGTTAAATGTTCACCTAGCAGCTGCTTTTCTACAGTAGCAATTAGTGGTTTCCTATAGGAAAAAGTGTTTAGAATTACATTCTTTTTGCTTACCAGTTAACCGTTTTCAACCCAACTGGAATACCAAGATGCTTCAAACAATAACATTCCTAATTACTTGTTAACAATGTGTTTATGGTCCAGATTGGTGGGGTGTGTGTGTGTATAAAAAACTGCTTCTGGTCTCTCCTGTCTTTTATATAGAAGCAGATAAATCATCTAGAGCAGAGGTAGCCAATGCAATGCCCTCTCGATGTTGATGAGCTACAACTCTCATCTTTGACAATTTATTCCCAGAACTTGTTTAAGTTTTGCATGGTTTTAATGGTGTCAACGCTTGTCTTTTCTCCTGGAAACTATGTAATTTCTGACAACTGATGTGAGTGTGGCCTTGCTGGACATTATTCTTTATGTCTAGGAAATTAAACCACACTTTGGCGAAAAGAAATGCTGAAACCAGGAGGTCATTTTAAACATGTTTAACACACCAGGTTGAGGGAGTCTACACACTTACTGAGTGCTTTGATCCAAGTAGGTGATAATCCTGTCTGCTTCTTCTTCCAAGCGTTTGTTGACATGATGGAGGTACTCTGGAACCTGACAGATTGAATAAATTATGGAGAAAAGTTAAATAAGGTGAGAATGGTATATCCTTTATTGGGGGAAAAATGTCTGAGAACCAAATTGGAGGGGCATTATTACATCTTGTCGTATTATTGCTGAAATACTTAATTGTAGCCCGTGTCAGCACAGCAAAACAAGTCTTGGGAGCTACTGTTCTGCCCTCATTAACCAGGAGGTTAATGTCCCCATGGTGCCCATGAGCAATAAGGTAATAAAATACCTCTCTTTCTTGCATAAGCCTCTGTCCTTCCGCTGCATACAGGCGATTTGTTTCTTCTAAGAATCTATGTTCAAAAGAATCCTGATAAATCTGTGGAAAACAAATGGGTCATTTGCTTAGGATGCTCTCACAGCTTACTCTGACATTATTCAATCATTTAATTTATTTATTAATTAAATTTATATACTACCCATCATCAGAAGATCACAAGACAGTTTACAACACAACACAACACAACACAACAAGTACAGGTTCAGTGTGATGGGGCATCCCTTGCTTACCTGAAGATCTGAAAGCATGCTGAGAAGGCTGCGAAGAAGGCTCCTGTCAATAGCCTCGCCGCTCCTCTCTCGCTCAACCAACAGAAGGATGCCATCAATGGTCTTGTTTTGGACCTTCTGATCGCTAATTATATGAGTCCTAAACAATTCTAGCCCCATATCCCTGGAAATGAATAAATCATTATAAGGAAGCAGAGACCAACACAGAGAGGCAGCTTTGTTCTACATTTATTTTGTCTAAGTGCTCAACTGCAGAAGTAATCTACAGGCCTGATCAGGTATTACTTTCTGAATACAGCACAAGAGAAAGTGAGTCCTTGGCTCTTTCATGCATATATGACCTAACCCAGCAAGCCAGATTCTCATAAAGGGTTCAGAAACTAGTAGTTGACCAGGCCTTAAGTGATCTGTGTAAATGTCCATAGCAAGCTCTTACACCAAGGGTGGAATGGGCCCATTTTACCTGCACATTTTTCCAAGGACCAAAAAATGTGTGTAAATGCATTTAAGAGGCATGTATTCATATGAATTGGATATACCTACTCATATAACCTGAAATTTGGATAAATACATACATACTAGGAACTCTTCCAGAGTTAAGTTGAGAATGGGATTTAAAAGATTAAAAACAGGCAGTTGGCTGCGGGAGAAAACAACAGGAGTGCTTCCAGAATTTAATACTAGTAGCAAGTTTAATACAAGCAATAAATAGGTTGGAAAAAACTTATAGCTCCTTTCACGAAAGGAGTCCTTCTATAAATGGTATGATAAATTGAGGTCCAACCTAATGTGCACCACTTATAACACTGATACCACACTGGGAACACAAGGCTCTAAACCAAGGCTCTGACACATTTTGTTCCTGTAAAAGTCACTGAGGAGATTTTAAATAAGTACACAGACAATGAGTAGAGTTCTGGAGGGCATAACCCAAAGGTCTGCATTTTGTTAAGCATGCTTAACTACATGGTTAAAAACAAAAACAACCAGTCAATTGTTCCAGGCTAGCAGCATTCTACTTTTGCATCACCTGTTTTAAAATTTCAAGACTAAATTGCTATTTGCTTTTGCCACTGGCCCGTTTCATAGTAAAGCATAATTAATGGTTTACCATGAATGCGTCAACCTGGATTGTTTTGCTTTTCACTGTGAGCGTGCAGAGGAAACAAACCATGATAACACCTGCTTAGCATTATACCTGAACCAGGAATTGTTGTGCTCACGCAAACAGTGATTGAAAAACCAGGAACAAAAGAAACAATGCTAATTGTTCTTTGTTTCTCCACAGTGCTGGTGGAGAGGCAAGACGCAGGCATAAATGGCTTGTGTATGGCTTATTGTGATGTTTGAAAATGGTGCCAGAAGACAGAGACCCTTTTGCCCAGCTGGTTCCTGATGGCTCAATTGTTCCCAACATGTAGCACTGCTGCCATTCTTGGTATCCAAACAATATGCATAGTGACCTCGTTCACCGTTCTGGAGCTAGTTGATACTTTCCAAATATGAACTTGGTTTAGCTTAACTTTAGCTTTCAACTGCCACACCCCCCCCTTGTGAAAATCTGGGTGGTCAGGATAAGCAAAGAAAACATATATACCAGCCATGCTACCAAGATTCTCTATTCACTGTCAGTTCACTGTGACTCTCAATCACAATGGAAGGGAAGAAAAACTGAATCTATATTTTTGACAAAGCATTTGGAAGTCTAAAATCAATACTTCTCTTTTCATTCTCACCAAATTGATGGCAGCATTGAATTTTGAAGAACGTATGTTCGATCCAGGAACAAAAAGATACTTCTAATCATTATCTGTAAGGGGGAGGGAAAAAAAAATCAAGCCATAAACATTTTGACATAAAGCAAGATCATTCTTGTGCCCTGATCCTAAACATGATTACTTGGTTGGGAAGGCCACCAATTTTAACAGGCCTTGTTTCTAAATATGCCTTATTGACTGCAACTTTAGAAAGTCAAACATATGAACTGACCGACTCCTCCCTCTTGCTTTACCATGTTCCTTAAGATGAATGGTGCACATCCTCTTACTTGCCCCATTGATGTGCAGGTTTCCACAACCAGGACAGGGTAAGAGACACTGAAAAGCTGCTGCACTTCCTGTCACCTGGGGAAACTTCATTCCCTCCAGAGACTGAAGTGAGGGCACATTTTAATCTAATTCTTCATACAATATTCTGATGAAATACTTCTTTAAGCAGGTTTTATGGCGCTGCCCTTTTAAAATTACTGAGGCGCATTGCAAAAAGGGTTATCTTCCTAAGGGACCCCTAAAAATTATGCAGCATAATGTACCAGATTCGAAGTGACAGAAACTGTCGCCAAGAGTTGCGAATTGAATACCTTGTGTCAGGACACAAAAGCAATGCAACCAAAATAGGTCCTAAATATATAATTGCTTGCATCATTTCCTAATAAAACAAAAAAGTTGTATTTGCCTAAATATCTGTGAGCAGAAAGCACTTCTCTCTCTAGCACAGCTAATGATCTCCCCTGCCTCCACATCTATCTGTGACCCCTGGAAAGCTACTCAAGATAGTTCCTGTTCCAACTCGCAAGGCAGTTTTCAGGAAGTTGCAGGTGTTCGTGGGGGGAAACCATCTGGGATCCAAGTTCACAAAAGTATTATTTGGAAGAAAAACAAGCCTTACCATTTGTCTGCAGTGGTCTTGCCAACATTTGTCTATTTTCTTGAGAAAAAGAACACTGTCCAATGAATCCATGATGAAGGAGTTAAGAAATTTAACACAACAACTGGGATAACACCAATGCCTGATGACATTGTTCTTCTGCGTCATCACTGGAAAACTCAATAGAAACAAAAAAAACTGCCAGCCCTATTTTAAAGCCTTTGTTTTAGGCTAGGATGTGATCATGAAAAAAATGTTTATTTAAAATCAGCTAAAGGCCAAGAGACCACCATTCTAATTTAAAGGGCCACTATGTTAATCAAACACTTGTGATGACACAATTCCATTGAACTCAATAGCTTTAAAATTATGAAAGAACTTACCTTATCTTTCAAGTTAGGTGTCCACATTTGATAATACCCATATTCAAAGCATTGTGATCTAGTAATGTCATAAGCATACACACCGCCTCAGAGGATATGAGACCAAATCTCACCTACTTCCCAGTACTTATTGTTTCAGAAGACTCTATCCTAGACACTAAACTGATTTTTAAGACTCCAATGATGTAAATATCCACCTTGAAGTTTGAACAGGGAAGATGCTCAGAGGGAAACACAGAAGAACACAGATGTGTGTATGTATCTGGATTTCAGGCATTATAAAAATGAAGTCCGCAAACAGACTTACTACACAAAAAGGATATTCTCTGAACTGATGGATCTGTGCTTTGATATGGTCTTCACAAATCTGTCTTAACTGCTTGTACAAATTTGCAGAAATCTTATATGAGCAGAGATTTTCAACAGCCTAAAAAAAGGAAAAGGAGGATACATGAAAAAAACTCCACCAACATTTGCAGGACTCCATCTACAATTCGTTACTTTTTCTGTACATGCCAGCTCTCAGAAAAACACAAGTCAAAATGATTCTTCCCAGTGAGTTTTTAAAAAACATGCCTATCCGATGTGGGGGCATCACTAGACAATTAGAGATCAAAGTTAAGGGTGGTATTCAAAACTAGACCTACTCTGATTAGACCCAATTAAATGAATATGACTAACCCACAAGAGTGGCTTTTCAGGAGATGCCAAGAACTACAATGGGCGTGGGAAATCCCCAGTATGTGAATGGAACTCTGCTCACAGGTCTCAAGTCATTTGCAGTCTTTGGATACTTTCTGCACAAACACTACTCATTTAAAATGGGACTCCAAAGATCTGGCTCTCAATTTTGCTGTTAGTTCACAGAACAAAAATACATGCCAGAATGCACTGCAGTTGCATTCATGCTCCCCTGGGCACAGTGCCTTTCAGCTGACTGAGCTCATTTAACATAACTACAGTAAACATCATGAAGAAGAAAATGGAAGAAAACAATGGAATACCAGACTAGCAAATGAGCAACATTTTAGACAAAGAACTCTTGACACCTAAAGGACATGCAGCCTAAACAGGACCCAGTGATGAAGACTGCATAGCCTTAATTTTGCTTAGCAAAGATTCACAATTATAGTTCAAACATAAAATTATTTGTACGCTACTCTAAAACCAACGCTGCAATTTTAAGAACATTTACTAGTAAGTAAACTGCATTTTGAGGGATGAGGGTGGCACTGTGGGTTAAACCACAGAGCCTAGGACTTGCCGATCAGAAGGTCGGCGGTTCGAATCCCCGCAATGACGGGGTGAGCTCCCGTTGCTCGGTCCCTGTTCCTGCCAACTTAGCAGTTCGAAAGCACGTCAAAGTGCAAGTAGATAAATAGGTACCGCTCCGGCGGGAAGGTAAATGGCGTTTCCGTGCGCTGCTCTGGTTCGCCAGAAGCGGCTTAGTCATGCTGGCCACATGACCCGGAAGCTGTACGCCAGCTCCCTCAGCCAATAAAGCGAGATGAGCGCCGCAACCCCAGAGTCAGTCACGACTGGACCTAATGGTCAGGGGTCCCTTTACCTTTACTTAAACTGCATTTTCCGCAACAGAATTTACTTCAAAGTAAATATGGTTATGCTTCCATGCAACAAATATCTGCTGGGTGTTACTATTGAAGCCTGCTTGAATTTACTGTTTTACTGGCTGTTGAAACCACAAGGAATATATTTGTTGTGTTTTATTTTAGGTGCTGTATTTTAAAATTATTCAAATGCCATTTCAGTTGTTTGCTGGTATATGGAGACAGTACTCATCAAATAAGAACACAAAGCACTTATGAACACTTCAACTACACTATGTAAATACTACAAGAAGCCTTGAAACACACTGATACATGAAGAACATGTGGCCCTCCAGATGTTGGACTCCATCCACATCAGCATGGCCAATGGTCAGGGATTATGGATCAGATAATCCCTTTGTTAGCCTTAAAGGCTAACAAATTTATTGTGGCATAATCTTTTGTGGACCAGAAATATTATACCATAATACATTTGTAAGCCTTCAAGAGTCTACAAGATTCTTTTGTTTTGCTACAACAGTAATAGAGCTACCTCTGTGAACATTGTCTATAAATGCTAAGTACCCTCATCAACTAAAACAAAGTCTATGTACGTGTTAGTTGTATTTGCTCATATTAATTCTAACCTCTCGCCCTCCCCATGTTAAACCTTAGTGATTGTAAGGACATCAGGACAGAAATCTTTCTTTTGTTTATGTCACTTGTTCCTTTCTTCTGCAAAAGGTCTAGTGATGAAGAAGTTTAAATAAATTATTATGGACTAAATTAAGACAAACCTTGAAACAGCCCTATGAGAGCATCTTCATAAAGGAGATCCAAATTTATTCACTAATCTGAAATTTAGCACATTTGAGAGAAGGGGACTGGTATGAATAAGTTCACCTCAAAGCTCTACTAAGGGGGTTTGAAGAAGTGGGAGACTTAAATAATCTAGTGTTGCTTTACAAGGATTTTTGCCAGCAGGGGAAGTAGTGCACTAAGAGGTTTATTGCTGATCAAAACAATACTCGTAAGAATCTTTTTGAGGAATGTGGGAGAAAAATACCTTGTTGCTGTGGCATACATAATCGTGCATTAAAATGCACATTTGGAATTGGATACATTTACCAGGCAGCTGCTCTTTAGTAGAACAGTTTTATCAAGTATTCACATCACCAGCAACTTATATTACCGTAGTTTCCGCTCCATAACACGCGTTTTTTTCCTCCTAGAAAGTAAGGGGAAATGTCTGTGCGTGTTACGGAGCGAATGCTTCCCTCCTCCGTGGTTTCCAGCGGGAGAAGAGCCGCTGAATGGGGAGGAGAGAGGGACAGAGTGCCTGCTTCTTTAAAGAAGCAAGCGGGAGGGCAGTGGAGCCGCTAACCCGAGTGTAAGCGGCTCCTGTCCGGTTGGCTCCTTTAAAGCAAGCAGGTTCTGCTTCTCTCCCTCCTCCCCACTCAGCGGCTCTTCTCCTGCTTTGCTGGAAATAGCAGGAAAGATTTTCAGTCTCCTCCCGCTTTGCTTTTCAGCTCGCTAAGGGGTGGGGGGAGAAGGTACCACTCGTGTAAGCGGCTCCTGTCCGGTAGGCTCCTTTAAAGCAAACAGGCTCTCTGTCCCTCCAGCAAAGTTTTTCAGCTCGCTAACGGGGGGGAGAAGCAGAGCCTGCTCCATGTGTGCTCCTTGTCCCTTGAGTGCTTTTCCTTCCCTCCCCACTTAAAACGTGGTTACAAAGCACAGATCCACATGGATCCTCAGGATTTTTGCACTGGGTCACCCCAAATTCACTGTCAGATCACATAGCATGTCCATGGCTACAGTTTGCACCAAAAAAATCACGCACCCACTGTTACTTGGGGCTGCAGTGGTGCAAAAACATGGTTACAAACATGGATCCACATGGATCCTCAGGATTTTTGCATTGGGCTACCCCAAACTCACTGTCAGATCACATGTCTGTGGCCAAAGCATGAACCACAAAAATCATACATCCACTGTTTCGTTTAGAATATTTTTCTTGTTTTCCTCTTCTAAAAACTACATGCGTGTTATGGTCGGGTGTGTGTTATCGAGCGAAAAATACGGTATTATTTTTAACACATGTTAAAAATAGATGCAAACGAATAGTGTCAATAGAAAATAGAGTTACTTTGCTGTAAAAATATCTGGTGCTAGCTGAGAGATCACTTTGAACACTTACTAGAGAGGGGTCCCCTAAGGCCTTAACCTTAGGAGGCTGACAGATTTCCACAGAACATACATATAAAAATATACAGTGGTACCTTGGGTTACATACGCTTCAGGTTACAGACTCCGCTAACCCAGAAATAGCGCTTCAGGTTAAGAACTTTGCTTTAGGATGAGAACAGAAATCGTGCTCCAACGGTGGGAGGCCCCATTAGCTAAAGTGGTGCTTCAGGTTAAGAACCGTTTCAGCTTAAGAACAGACCTCCGGAACGAATTAAGTACTTAACCCGAGGTACCACTGTACTAGGATATCTTACCCTAAGATGTCAGAAGTACTGGTTGAAAACATGCAAGTTTATCCCCAAATAACCCTTAAATGAGCTTTTAGCTATCTTCCAGAAAGTTGTTCTACTGGTAAGCCACAAGGCTCGTCTATGGCATGTGGAAGAAAGAGCGGTTATCTAGTCCAAGCCCCTGTTCACTGAAGGATCTACAATAGAAGATGAAACTCCTGCATCTCTAACAGATGACCACCCAATTCTTCCTTAAAACCTCCTGAGGTAGTCAATTACTCTGCTAAATAACCATTATTTCCTAATGTACAGCTAAGAAGTGGAGCTCATTACACAGGCTCTGCTGTGACACACTGACTAGACCCATCAAGCCTCCTCTCCCTCAACTGTCATCTGGGGGAAGCCATTCCACCAGACTGCCTCAATGGGAGAGGAAGCAGGGTCAGTCCATCGGCTCTGCTGGAAGCCCAGCATCAGACACCATCTGCCTCTGAACTGTGCCAACAGGTCAATATAGGAAAAACAGTCTAGTAATTGGTGCCAGAGTTTTTATTTTTATTTTCCTCTTCCATCCTTTTCCCCTTGTGTGTTGTCGGGTTTGTTTGGTTGTTTTCTCAGATTGTAAACCTGTAGGTAGAGAGTGTCTTGTTTTGATTTTATGTAAGTCATTTTAGAGGCCTTTTTGGCTAAAGAGCAGGGTACAAATGCTATAAATAAAGAAGGCCAATTGAATGCTTCAATAATGAATTCTCAGTAATTGCTGTGTGCCAGAAAGCACAATGCATTAACATTATCAATAACGTAGCAAGACACCCTCCTCAAAGTGAGGTAAGAGAAACATGAGGATAAGCCACAAGACATCTTGTGTGGTATGCCTACAACTCAATTTCTAGTTACTATTTCTTTTAAGGGACTCCCAAGGAGACAAGAAGAAAAGATGTTGAAGGTTCTCCCATCAGCCACAAAGCTTGGAATATGAGCTATATGTTAATCAACCTAGTACAGTATTCTACCTATGTGAATTCAAGAGTTGACAGAGTTTTCGTAGGCCACGTAGTCCCATGCCCTGCTTGAGGCAGAAAATCCAGCTGAACATAGGAAGCAGTCTTGTATATAGTGAGATCACTGGCCCATCCAGCACAGTAGCATCTACACTGACTGGCAGCATTCTCTCCCAGCCCTGTCGGGAGATGCTGACCTGCCCAGCCAGTGCCTGTAGGGTTTCAACAATGGAAAGCCTATCTTGTAATTGGTTCTATGGTTAAATTTCTCCAACCATTAAGATGTTTCTCCGAATGTTCAACCAAAATCTACCTTCTTGTAACTTAAGCCAATTAAATCTAGCTTTGTTTTCTGAGGCAAGAGAGATTCCCACAAGCCAATTAGAACAACAGCTCTTAGAAGCAAGGGCTGCCTGCTTGAGGCCATTCCATCTCCAACTATGCAACTGTAAAATTTGGACTTTACTCCATTTGAAAGTTATGTCAGTAGATGTATGTGTATCAGATTTGTATCACAAGCAATAGGACTTATTCGTATGATGTTACTGTGTTAGCATTTTCTGTATTTTGCACTATACATTGTTTTACATTTTCTGGCTTTTATTGCTTTTATCTGCTGTATCTAATCTTGTAAGTCACTTTGAGAACTTTGTGGGTAAAAAACTAATTAAAAAAAATATTAAGAATAATAACTGAGTGTTGTTTTTATATTTTAAATGTTAGGAACTTTTGTCCTAAACAGCCATGCAACAAGAAGCACTCTAACAAGATCCTTCCCACCCCCATTTTAAAATAGCAACATCAAATAGCCAATGTTTCGGTCATTATTTTTGTTCAGTCTTTTGATTATACTATCCTATGGAATAATGTTCACTTCTTAATAGTGATAATTTAAGAAATAATTCAACACCCCCCCTTAGATAAAAAGTACACTTAACAAGTGATATCCAAATAGTACTTTCAAAGATTCAAAATCCTACACAGTTATTAACCGGAATAGCTACAGAATACTCTACATTAAGAAGACCTTTGAAAGACAGGTATTGAACAAACTGAATACAAACTGCATGCAGATTAAGAATCTTTCCTTTGACATTCACAAAACCCAAAGTAAAGGTTATCTTTCCAAAAATCAGTGAAGATGCAAAGTAATTCCATAGAAGCACACATAATCAGATTATAAAGTCTTAAGCAAAGGCTTAGTGGGTCTGTGAAATACTGTGGTTCTACAGAAAACTCAACAGTTAACTGGCAAAATTAAGTGAGCGAGAAAAAACATGCATTCAAAATAATATAGGAACAGATAGGGAAGAAGGGATGGTAAGTGATAAAGAAGATGAGGTAATCCTGTAAAATATACACGAAAATGATACAAATGCTTAACTCTGCATATACCGTATTTTTCACTCTATAGGACACACTTTTCCCCCTCCAAAAATTAAGGGGAAATGTGTGTGTGCGTCCTATGGAGCGAATGCAGGCTCCTTGGCTTCAGCGAAAGCAACGCGAAGCCTCCAAAGTACAGAGGGAGCGCTCCCTCCGCGCTCCGGAGGCTTTGGGTTCCATATGCTGAAGCCGGGAGAGCAAGACTCTCCTGGCTTCAGCAGAGAGGGAGAGCTGCGCAGCGCCCCTTCAGCGAAGCGGGAGGAGAAATGGAAGGGGCTCCGTTTCTCCTGCCGCTTCGCTGAAGGGGCGCTGAGCAGAGAGGGGGATTTTTTTTCTTGTTCTCCCCCTCTAAAACAAGGTGTGTCCTATAGAGCGAAAAATACGGTAAATGCTGCTTCTTTAAGGTAAGGGAATCTGTTACTTTTAAGGCAACAAAGAAAAGAATATACCAAGCATTTGTAGTAAAAGGGACTACTGAAGTTATGTCTTTTGATTTCTTAAGTGTGCTTCCTATAAAAACAAGCAAAATCCCAGGTGTTCAAGTATTTGAGGCTGGAGTTTGAAACATTTCATCATTGCTTCCTGCTTCTCGAGAAGTAGGTAAATACCACAATAAAAAAGTCAGTAAGCAACTTAAGTTCCCCATTTTTAGCAATACTGTAACTTGGATCTACTTATGACAACTTGCCTTTCTAGCTTTTTCAGATTACTTTAACTTTACTCATTTGAAGAGTAAACTAATGGTAGTACACTAATTTACATTCCCACTAGCATTAAAAGTATTTTGAGTGCTGCAGAGCAGTGGATGACCTCATATTTCTGCAAGCACCAAAAATTCCTCTTAATGTTTTATGGTATTTTTTATGTTCTATTATATGTGTCGAACACCATCTTGATACAGTGGTACCTCGGGTTACATATGCTTCAGGTTACAGACTCCGCTAACCCAGAAATATTACCTCAGGTTAAGAACTTTGCTTCAGGATGAGAACAGAAATCGTGCTCCGGCAGCGCGGCAGCAGGAGGCCCCATTAGCTAAAGTGGTGCTTCAGGTTAAGAACAGTTTCAGGTTAAGAACGGACCTCCGGAACGAATTAAGTACTTAACCCGAGGTACCACTGTACTTTAAACGAGTGTGCAATATATAATATATACATATATTACTAATAAATAGTATCAAAAAACTGGGGAAGTTCTACTTCAATTTCATGTTAAAAGAGCCTCCCTGCCTGCGATGTTTCAACCTCACAATAGGTCTGTGTCAGCACACTAGGAACAAGAAACAAACTGGGATGGAAGTTGTCGTCCCAGCAATAAGCAGAACCTTTGTTTCCCTGTGAAGCTTATCATCCTATCTATCCAGAGAATCTTTGGTCATGCCAGCATAGTACTCCTGAAGATGTACTTCAAACTGTAGTTTGTCCCTCTCTGAAGTGCAGGACACCTAAAATTGTGACCAGTCTTCACTGTTTTGTTGAAGTGCCACTACAAATTCTAGAGTGCCTGAACCATAGTGAATGTACCAGAAAAAAGCCATTCAGATGAACATCTGAATATTTTACTGTGTTGATTGAAAAAGTATATCTGGCTTGATGAATTTGTGAAGGAGCTCTCGTTAGTTTTCTGAAGTACCATCAGTCTAACCTGGTCTTCACTGAGTGATTATGGGTCCTTATCCACACTTCAAACCCAGATAGTTTGAGGCCCTAGAAAGTGAGCTAAAAACCTCAGGGATGTTTACAGTCTAGTACGGCTTTACCTATGTTATTGAACGCTACAAGTTTTGACACTTACCTGATAGAGCTCTTCTAAGTTGTACTTAATTGAAGTACTGTTCTGAATAGCTTCTACAGCTTCCTTCAGTTTTTGCCAGGTTTCATCTGTGTAATTTTCAGGCAGTTTAGGTTTATCTGCAAGATATTAAAAATTAGTGTCTTTTACAGAAAATATATAATTTAAGAATGTAAGAACAGCCTTTCTGGAGCAGATCAAAGGCCATTTAGTGAGCTTTCAATAGTGACCCACAAGATTTACTTCTATGTCAAAACTCATAATCAAGGAAGCATTTGTACTTATGCTTACATACAAATAATCCCTCTAGGAGATGCTCAACGTACCAGTTTCTGCCCCATCAGTAGCCAGGTCACAATAGTGACTTGCAAGTAAACAAATGAAAACTAGACATTGTCTCTGAACAATACAGATCTCTGCTAAACTGACCCATCAGAATGGTGAAATGGTTGAATTCGGGATGAGTCAAATGGATTGCGGGATGCGGGTGGCGCTGTGGGTTAAACCACAGAGCCTAGGACTTGTCGATCAGAAGGTCGGCGGTTCGAACCCCCGCGACGATGTGAGCTTCTGTTGCTCAGTCCCTGCTCCTAGCAGTTTGAAAGCACGTCAAAGTGCAAGCAGATAAATAGGTACCCACTCCAGTGTTTCCATGCTCTGCTCTGGTTCGCCAGAAACGGCTTAGTCATGCTGGCCACATGACCCAGAAGCTGTACGCCAACTCCCTCGGCCAATAATTTAGATGAGCGCTGCAACCCCATAGTCAGCCACGACTGGACCTAATGGTCAGGGGTCCCTTTACCTTTACCAAATGGATTGCAGATCATGGGGACTTTGCTACTGAACTTGACAGTTCTATTAAGCAATAGTTGACCAGTACAAAACAAGATTGCCTTGGATTGCCAATCCCCGCCCCCCTAATTCAGAACTAAAAAGCATTCATGTTTTAAAAAATCAGCTGCTGTAATGTATTGCGTGCAAAGCTTTCTTGATTATTTTTCAGAATCTTCAGTATACAGACAATGCAACAGCCTGCCTCATGAAACTGAAATATCACAAGGAGCACATTACACAAGGATTCCAATATGCAAGTCTTCAAGGCAGGATTCAAGGTACTGGCTTTTATCTTACCACGTTCTAAATACTATATCCTACTTACGAAGTGGATAAGATTCATTCCTCATGTGCTGCCACAGTTTCATGGATCAATTTTAAAATGCCCCCTTAAGCATATCATTTGTATGGAGTTTGAAAACCAAGCCATACAAATGTTCTTATTGACTTAGCATCATTTCAACATAATGTAAGATCAAACTGATTAGTAGCCAGGGCTACTAATAAGCAGCTCTTGAGGCACTGCATATTCCTCATGTGGTGTGGCTTGAAGATCAGATGTGCAGTACAGTTTATATGCTGGCAGATGATGTTCCCTTTCTAGATCTACCATTTCAGCTGAAGATGTATCCTATCCTCATCCACAGACATTTCTACACTCTTCAGTTGTGGCAAGAATAGTATATATACAGCAAGGAAAGGAAAAGAAATACAGATTCTTCACAATACATACATGCTTGGTACCATTAATTTGTCAGTGAGGCATTTGCCCAAAAGAAGCATAAAAAGAGTCAAATGGACACTCAGTGAGAACTGGACTTATATACGAGTCAGGAAATGGAAATGCAAGATTCACATTTACCAGTCAGAAGCAAAGAAATGAGTGGAAAGTGTCTGGGAAAGGCAAACGCGGTTTAACAAAAGACAGCTTGACCTGCATGTTAAGGGTAGACAAACAGGAATGTGTGTATGGTACTGGTGTATGGTGGTGAGGCCAAAATTATAAAAATATTTTTTATAATTACAAAAATAAGGACCATCTGTATTGTTTTTCTTTTGTAGAGTGATAGAAGGTACTTAGAAGTAAGAAACAGCCAATATACTCTATCATTTCCTGAAGTAAGATACTTCCTTTAAAAAAGCAACAGTTAATTAACTTGATTAGAAAGCAGAAATGTTTTGAGACAGATATTTAAAAACAAAATATATTTTTTTTCAGAGACATAACAAAGCTCTTCAAAGCCAGAGATTAATACATCAAAGCCTGCTTTATCATTCTTGGTATGTGTATATCCATAAACCCCCCCCCTTACGCATACAGATATCAAAATTCACTAGAGAATGTTATATCCACCACTCACCCTAAGGTGGGTTGCAGCAGTTGCAACATAATATTAGAAACAGTTTAAAAAAACTAACAACAACAGAATTAAGGTTGGTACATCAGGTCCCCCATGGCTTTCTTGTCTTTTTACTGCAACAAATTAACATTACTACCCCATTTGAAGTTACAGTACCTAGCTTTGAGACTTTTGGTTAGGAATGGGCAATCTTCCCACTGCTAAGATCTACTATTTTTATTAGACTCCCAAGATTTGCCAACCAGCAACAAGTGCAAAAGAGGTGCAGTTAGAATTAAAGAGCAGGGTGCCTCTGAGCACATTCTGAGCATAGGAATTTCTTTTCAGAACCAGAACCAAACAGAACTCATTCTATCTATGGAGTGCTACAACCCTAATTTAACACCCACATTACATGCTGCTTTAAAAACCTGAGTGTCCAGGCAAAATTCTTTGGCTTCCTCTCATTTTCCATCTAGCCTCCTCCATGTAATAAATATATGTATGCTGATTACAAGAATAATTTTAAGCTTTTTACTTGGGACTCAACCAAACATTAGAGGGAATATTTGACAGGTTCTCAAACTATGGAGACACACATGCCTCGAGAAAATACAAAATTCCAGAAATGATAGGATCCTCTCATTTCCTTCCCTACCATCCAAGATGAATGTCTCTGGCAAACAACTGTACAGGATTCACGTTATATTTGTGGAAATGATTGTATCCCTACAATTTTATCCTAAACTGACTGAGAAATAAGGAAAGGATGAAATAGCTGCTACCTCATTCTAATGAAAACTCCCAGTGTATGATTTTAGGAGGTCAAGGATGCTGTGCCCTGTTCTGAACCAGCACTGCATACTAGTACTTCAGAGCAGGGATCCTCACATGCAGCTGCAGGAAATAGCATACAACTTTGTTTGAAAATCTCTAAACACTTGCTTATGGAAAAGAGCTGTAATTTCACAAACATGTTTAAGAAACAGAAGCATATACATCAATCTAAGTTTTTCTAAGCTGCAACTTAAAAATAGTCTGTCTTCAATATTATATCTTTTTGTCATACTTTTAAAAGCTTCACATTCCATTTAACTCGAGAACTGCAGCAAGAAAGGGGAAACTGGAGCATGGATGTATAGTGAAGAGCTGGGGATATGTTGAGGGGGACTGGTTTCATTTTTAGAGCCATTGGAGAAGGAATGAAAAATTCCTGTCCCTCCCCTCTGCAACCACCAATTACAGGGAGATTTAACTCCACAAAACGTATCTTTTTCAAACCAGCTATATGAATGAACACCTGACGCTTTTTTTGTTTGGCAAAAAAGAAAGCACTACACTTGGGGATAAAATTGTAATGGATCCCAGTTAAGTGGTCTGGTTTCCTCTAACAAGGGATTCCGTGGCAGAGTGGTGAATATGATCCCACACACCAAAGATTTCTGCAAAGTACGTGCCATCCCTCTTTATGTAGATACACATTTCAGAGATAAGGAATGAAATAACCATGTTACCTTTAAAGTTCTTGATCACTAACTTCTTGGCTGATCCAGGTTTACTGTTGGCAAAACTGGAGACAGTGGAAGAGGCAGCTTTGGTCAGGCCATTTGCGTGGTGTCCCACAGCTACTGAGGAAATTAAGAGGCTTTTGTTTTTGAACTGCTGCTGCTGGTGCTGCTGAGAAGAGGCAGCAGGTGACGAGGAGGAAGAGGAGGAGGAAGACTCTTCAGCCATCTTTGCATCAAGTCCAAAAAAATCCAAGGAGTCCTCAAAGCGCAACTTCTTCTGCAGGTAATGGTTGGAAGAGGCAACTCCTGATGAGGAGGAACAGGAGGCAGAGGTGGCAGGGGTGGTGGTGGTGGTGATGGTGGTGGTGGTAGTAGTAGCAGTAGCAATAGAGGATGTGGAAGAGTTATTTCTGGGAAGAACGGAGGAGCAGGAGGTGATGGATTCAACCTCTTCTCTATCAGTGCTGCTGCTATTACTATTTAGCTTTCTTTTCTTGGAAGAAGACGAGGCGCCGCCGCCGCCGCCACCACTGCTGCTGCTGCTGCTACTACCATCAGTGGCGGGTCTGACCTCCTGAGCTGCTGCTGCTGCTGAGGGGTTGGGGGAAGTGAAACCTGTGGGAAACATGAACACCACAGAGGTGAGCAGGCTGAAGGGCATCAAATCCTTCTGGTGGGACAGGTACGCAGAGCAAGTCGTGGAAGATCTCTGCCTCGTCCGTCCAGGCAGAACAAGTGCCTCCTTGCCAGCCGGTTCGCTTCTCTTCACTTCCCTCTCACGAGGAAAGGAAGCCCTTGCCGGCCTTCCCTTCACCCCTTCTCGCTTGGATCGAGCTCTCAGAAAAGGCGTCTGGCTCCCCGAGAGGGGAAGGGCAGCTCCGCCTGGCCACCCTGCCCCGGACTCCCGCGAACCTCTCTCAGCGACTCTGCCTCTGCCCGTCCCCTCACTTTCTCAGCTCCTGGAGGCGGCCAGGGTCCCCTCCACTCTGCCTCGCTCCTTTCCCCGAGATCACCTCTCTCCCGAGGAGGGGCGGAGAGGGGAGCCGGGCTCCCTTTCCCGCTCCCTCTCCCTCTCGCTTCCCCGCCACCTCCTTCGCGGCCGGGAGAGGGGGAAACGAACAAGGGAGGCCGCCGCGCCGCTTGTTATTGTCAATACTACAGGCACAAGAGGCAGGGAGCCCAAAACATGGCGGTACATCCGGCCGCTCGGCATGCTGGGAGACCAACCCCGCCCGGAAGCTCCGAAAGGGGCGGCTGAGGGGGCTCTTCGGCAAGGGGAACTCGCGCTCCGGGTGTGCGGAGCCCGCGGGGGGGGGCAGTCCCGAACACCCTGCCCTATTTCTCTCACTCACCCGCTCGCCCACTCGCCCCCGACCAGGCCCCGCGCCCCAACGTCCCCCCCCCCGCTACCTGGCACCCGCTTTTCCTCCTGCCCTCTGACCTACCGGAAGTGCTCATGTTGCCGGGCGGCTGCTGCTGCTGCTGGTGGTGCTGCTGCTGCTGGCGGCGGCGGCGGCGGCGGCGCTGACGGCGCTGGGGGCGCGAGTCCTTCTCGTGCCCAGGCGGGGTGGTTGGGGAGTCCGGCGCTCCAGGCTCTGGTGATGTTTCTTCGCGGGAAGAGGCGGGGTTGCCGCCTCCGGAGTGCTGCATCTCCCCGGCGAAGTGTGTCGGCAGGTCTCCCGAACCACGCCGCTTGCCCTGGTTCTGGTTCTTGCTGCTTGCAGCAACTCTTCGCCCTCCTGGTCTTGGTCCTTCTTCTGCCTCGCCTTCCCAGCGCCCCAAACCCTCTGGCTTCCTTGGCTTCGGAGTTGCCTCGCGCACACGCGAGCGGAGGAGCTGGAGCTCCTTGAGAAACAACCTCTCCGTCTCACCGCTCTCTCCTCTCTGCCTTTTTGCAGGGGAAAGGGTGAGGAGGCGCGTGTCCCACCCCCTTTATTTCCTGGACAGAAATTGGTTGAGGGGATGGTCCCGGTTCCCGCCACGCCTCCATGCTTTCTTTTTTTTTATTGCAGTTCAGGAGCGACGTGAAGTGCGCCTCCACTTTTCACCTACATTTTAAAAAATATAATAATAAAATAATAAATGCACATAGCATCATCCTGAGCAGGACGAGTGGGAAGTTGGACTTGGTAGATAGTTTCGTCCTCCTTGCTGGCTGGCTGGCTTGCGTTTTTTATAATTATCAGCCTGAAGTACAGATCGTATTTGCATTAGGGGAGGGGAGGGGAGGGGAGGGGTGAGATGGAAGCATCCAAGATGCTAATCAAAGGGTTAATACAAGGGCAGTAGAACTCTGTGATGTCATACATCTGAGGCAAGTTATGTCAGTGGATACAGTTATGACAGTTATGAACATCCTTTTGTGTGAAAGCAGTTGAAGTGTTGCACTGCTGTTTGCCTCAGAGTTTTAACCTGCAAGTGCACTAAGTAAAACTTATTTGTTACTTAAACTTTAAACAGGGAGTGTCTTCTGTAGTTTTTATAGGAGTAAAAATAGAACTAATTAAAGGGTCAAACAACCGGGCTCTTTTCCACATAATTCTGAAGAGTCTTAATTCCCACAGTGGGGACATTTAGGTAAAATATATTTAATGTTATGTTTAGTTTGTGGAGCAAGGAATCATTTCACAGTGGATCATACCTGTGCATTGTTACAAGAATTTAAGTTCTCAAATATGTAAATTAAATGTACAAGGCAAACATGTACATACATATATAAATCACATGTCCGAAACAGTACAGGAAGACAGTCCTGAAACCATTTTGACTCTCCCAAACTGACCAAATGTTTCTCTGCAAGGAGGGAGGAAATGAAAAAAAAACAAAACTCCTCATTGTCTCTGTGCTCACAAATCCTGCCTTAAGGGCACATTTAAGGTGTGAATAGGGTGAGCCTGTGACCTGGCTCAGGAATTAAGTATTTATCATTACAAAAGAATGGCCAGGCTGCCCGTGTGATCCAATCAGTGACCATTGACGGTTTTTTGCCAGACAGGATTTTGCTGGAGACCACCTCTTTCTGAGATTTATGTATGATGTATTGGGGTGGTGGTCTTGGGCTACACCCCTTCTGTGATGTATGTATGATGTTTCTGGGGGTGGTCTTGAGTTTGAGGGTGGGCAATTTCAAAAGTCTATACAGTGGTACCTCGGGTTACATACGCTTCAGTTTACAGACTCTGCTAACCCAGAAATAGTACCTTGGGTTAAGAACTTTGCTTCAGGATAAGAACAGGAATTGTGCGACGGCGGCAGCGGGAGGCCACATTAGCTAAAGTGGTACCTCAGGTTAAGAACAGTTTCAGGTTAAGAAAGGACCTCCAGAACAAATTAAGTTCTTAACCCGAGGTACCACTGTAAGGGCTGGCACACCTTTGTTCTGGGTTCCTCCTCTTTCCTGCTTTGCTTCTCAATATTCTCTGGTTGGCCTCTGTTATTTTCTTCTACCGATAGTGAACCCACTTTCCCTGTAAGGGGAAAAGGGCAGATTTTGTTTACAACAGCATATATGCTGAGAAATAAAGTTAATGAGGAATTTTTAAAAAGGAAGCATGATTATCATTTCGCTCTTGTTTACTACAGAAGGCAACCCTTAGAGTCAACCAATCCTACAATTCTATGATTCCACTAGGGCAGGAAAGCATGCTGTTTGTTGCTGTAGAGCACAATGAACTCACAGTATGCTACATTGTATATTAATAACAGCATTCTACAATGTGGACCTTCACACACCAAAATGGCACTGCTCCCAGACAAACACACATGTGAGGTATTAGTAAGCTTAGAAAAACCATAGAGTTTACACAAGTATAAAAGAAATATCCTGAAGGAGCACTCCAGAATACTAAAATGAGGTTAGGGCATGCTCTGTGGTGGTGAAATATTGATTGACTTGGGAGTGTGAGGAGGAAATGTAAGAGTATATTGGAAAAAGTTATGATTGTCTGAATGGAACTCTGAATCAAAGGCATTCTGCTCTGCAGTGTTTTGCCATATATCTTACTTTGGGACCTGGAAATCATGTCATTTGCCCTCTTCATGAGTACACTGGAAGCTGTATTAAACTGAGTTAAATCATTGGCCCCTTGAGCTGATAGGAGTTGTAGTTCAACAATATCAGGAGGAACAAAGGTTCCATGCTCTGGATGACGTTTGGACTACAACTCCCATCAGTCCCAACCAACATGTTCAGTGATCAGGAATTATGGAAGTTGTAGTTCACCAGCACCCATGGTCTACCCTGTGTGGTAGCAGCTCTCTAGGCTTTCCTAATATGACTTATCTAAAGATGCCAGGGATTTAACACGGGACATTCCAAGCTGTAAGTGACCTCAGAGACACAGTATGGCTATCCTAAATATACATGCAACTCAATAGTAGCCAGACTTTTAGCACTTCTTTTTGAAGAAGACTTCTTGCAATTCAGAAGTTTGTCAACTTTGTCTTATAAATATATAACATTTCAGAATGTGGCGCTTGTAGACACATGTTAAAATCATGTGAAATGGAGTCCAGCAAAATCTCCAGGAGAAGGAGGGTAGGGCAGGAAAGTTGTCTTGTTTTCCACAAGTATAGAATATGGGAACTCTACTGTCCTAGTTTTGGTTTGTTTTTATTTTGAATAGTTTTAAAGTCAGCTCAGCGGTGTTAATTGCAACATACAGACAAGGAGCATATCTGTATTATCTGTTTTGCTTTTACGTGGGCTTGAAAGCCATATATTTTAATTGGCAGACAAGCACTGGGAGTGCAGCTGCTTTGGCTCAGCATTTAGCTGATAAGGAATGCTTACCCACTCCAACTTGCCCGAAGGATACTCTGTAGTTTTAAGATGGTTACCACATAAGCACGGACCCACAGTGCTTTATACAAATCCTCCAGAACTTCACTGCAAAATTTAGTCCAGAAATCTATGCTAGACTATTGTAACCCAGCAATAGGAGCAAGGGAGATGGAGATAACTGTAAAGAAATTGTAGCAAGATCTTCTTCTTTGGCGATCACTCATAGCTGAGTAAGATTATCTTCCGTAAACATGGTTTTTAATAATGAGTCCGTAGGTGACTGTGGATGCCAATACTGGATCCACACGTCCTTCCACTGTGGGGACATTGGTTTCCTGGCGGGAGTGGATCACAGTGTGGATTTGCCAAGCGTGCCTTCCTCTTAGCATGTTTCTCCCTTGTGTCCTGAGTTTGAGTGTCTTCAAACCCCATGACACCTTTGGTAAAGGCTGTTGGAGCACTCACAGGCAAGTGTTTCCAAATTATTGGCGTTTATACTACATTTTAAAAAAGATTTGCCTTGAGACAGTCTTTAAATCTCTTTTGTTGACCACCAGCATTGCACTTTCCATTTTAAATTCGGAATAGAGTAGTTGCTTTGGAAGACGATAATCAGGAATCCGCACAACATGACCAGTCCAACGAAGTTGATGTTGAAGAATCATTGCTTCAACACTGTAGCAAGATATAGTTAATATGTCTTGTATAGATAGCCCTGGTCCTTTACATAGCAAGTGTGCAAGAAACTGAGCTGGATATGCCTTATCCCAAATAAGAGGTTTTGCTACATGTTCTTCTAATGAAATCTTAGCAAAGTGGTCAGTTGATCTGGACTTGTTAGGAGCTGATACATATGCCCATAGGCAACCTCAACTTTCTTCATAGTACGAAACCTCAGCAATGCAGAATAGCTATCTTTGCATAGTAGGCTCAGCCACAAAAGAAAATGAAATTCCTTCACTGTGGGAACAATGCAGAATCACTATCTTTGCCTAGTAGGCTCAACCACAACAAAAAATTCCCTCACCATGGGAACTTCTATATGAACAATGTTTATTATCTAAACAGATGTGGGGGGAAAACCTTTGTGTGCTGTAACTGGTACACTGATTGGGTTAGTGGAGACAGGAATTCTGACTAGCCCTGCAGAAAATACCTACCAGCAAAGAAACTGAAATTAGTGATGGTTTGAAGGTACATCAAGATGGGGATAGGTCTGATTTTGCCAAGTCCCTTTCAGATTCTGTAACTAAATAATTAAATGACATCCATAAATATTGGAACTTGAATTCAGAAACCTGCTTTTGAACCAATACGAATGATCAAGAGATGGGCTTAGATGAGTTCTTTTCCATTCTTAATCTAAACTCTTCAGATCCAAGGCTACTGATAGTGGATGAGTATGCTGACAACTCAATTGCTACCTTCCAAAGAAATTATATTGGCCCTCCACCTAATCTAATTTGTTCAAGACCCAGTGTGGTGTCTTTTGATGGAATTTGGGAGGTTTCAGGTCAGCTCTCCACATTTCTTGCTGTACAGGAAGGAAGGAAAAGGCAGCGAACGATGGATAAACAAACATGCTCTGAAAGGTATGAGAGGGAAAGTGCAAATTCCAATGATGATTCTTCTAGGAAGAGGCCTTCAGACAGATTGTCCTTCATAACTGGCCAGTGAAGAAGTCCAGCAGAATAATGAAAACAAAATATGAACTTCAAGCAGGAATTCAAGCCATTTTTGGGACTTCCTTGGATTTAGGAAATTGTTTACATCATAAATGCCTGCCTAATTGTAACCAGAGAGGCAGTATCGAAGCTTTCAGGATCCTGATGTATAAGATAAATTTTGGTCTCTAACACATGTTTGCTGACAGAGTGCTGTTATTTGAATTAGAAGGTTGTCAAAATAATCACCCTCTGATGAAAAGTTAGATATCCATTCCCTGTACTTTCTAGAGAAAGGGAACTGCAGCCTGGAAAAGGCAACCTGAAAGGAAGGGGCAGGAAGTTTTTGAGCCATAAGACTCCTGCCTTTGTCACCTGTCCTAATAATAATGTAGATATGCTACACTGGAGAAGGTAAGATTCATTGTATTGGCCCAAACACAGGTATTGGAAGAAATATGCCCAGGTTAGAGGAGCAAAACTCCTACCCTGCTAGCAATTTATTTTCCAGAAATCTATCCTGTATCAATTCTGATGTTTCTTACGATATACTGTGTTTTGATGCATTTTCCCCTAAAACAGCTTCAATCCAAATTGAGAAAACAACCTTGCTACATTTTTTTAAAAAAATAATATTTATTAAAGTTTCAAAGGAAAAAAAAATCATATTAGTAAAAAAAAAATAACAATGAAAAGGAAAAATACAAAGTAGAAAAAAAGAAAAAGCAGTTAAAAACAATTCCATCTTTTCCTCACTTCTTTTACGTTTACTTGTTTCCCGGACCTCCTCATACCTCCCTCTTTTGTATTCCAATTAAATTTGTTAATCCAACAATTCCTTTCCCTCCTTTTTAATCCTAATCCTTAGTCCTGATATATTGTAAATTAGATTTTTACATATTAAAAACCAATTTTTCCATATTCTTTTGTACCTATATAGCTAGAAACCACTTAACTTCAATCCAACATCATTCTAACATTCATTAATATTACAATATTTCTGTAAGTAGTCTTTAAATTTCTTCCAATCTTCTTCCACCGACTCTTCTCCCTTACATTTTAAGCTGGTAACGTGTACATAGTCCAGATCTGAATCTGATCAGTCCCTGTGCATGGCACATCACTCATATATATAGAACCTTGAATTTCATGTAGGAACAGTACAATGCAACTGTAAAAATGTTTGTTTGTTTGTTTATTTGTATACCACCTTTCACCCATAGATCTCAGAGCAGTTCACAACATTAAAAAATGCAAGATAAAAACACAAAATACATAATTACAACAAAAACAAACCAAACCAACAACCCCCTCACACAAACGTTAAAAAAAGAGGTATAAAATGTTAATCAGCCCAAAGCCTGGTTGAAAAGGAATATTTTCACCTGGTGCCTAAAGATATGTAATAAAGGTGCCAGGCAAGCCTCCCTTGGGAGTGTTGCCACTATCCAGTGTTATACAGTGGTACCTCGGGTTACATACACTTCAGGTTACAGACTCCGCTAACCCAGAAATATTACCTTGGGTTAAGAACTTTGCTTCAGGATGGGCACAGAAATCGTGCTCTGGCGGCATGGCGGCAGCGGGAGGCCCCATTAGCTAAAGTGGTGCTTCAGGTTAAGAACAGTTTCAGGTTAAGAACGGGCCTCCAGAATGAATTACGTAAGTACTTAACCCGAGGTAGCACTGTATATTTCTTTTACAGCACAGACATAATGGGCTGGATCAGTTAAACGTGTTGTAAACTCATACAGGGAAATCTGGTAGGGAAAGACGGGACTCCACAGCGCCATCTGTTGTCACAGTATTATTTCATATACTGTATGAAGGCTGCAAGGCTGCAACCCCGGGAGCATGGCCTGCTTGTTTTATTAGGAGCTTGGTAAAATAATATTTGAAAGGGGTACTTGATGTCAGGCTGTGTGGGAAGAGGGGATTCCAGCCTGGTTAATGAATATATACATAATTTATTATTTATTGAATTTATATACCTGCACAGCCCTATACGGTACCTGGAGTCTCAGGGTGGTTCACAGAATAAGAAGCAATCATATGGGAGGCCCTTTTGATTTTGGTGGCAATTCAGTTTGAAACTGTAGCCTGCATCAGTTTGGTAATGCAAATCAGCATTTCTAAGTAACTTGAAATACCAATTGACAAAAATACTAGCATAAGTATAATAATTTGGTTGAAGCAACAGTTCTGATCAAATGTTGAACCTGTGTGGGACGACCATAAAGGTATGACCATAAAGCAAGGATGCAAGGGTGTGATTCTATTATTATTTTTAATAAAAAAACCTTTTCAAAAGCACTTAATTATACATACTGTACAGTGAATTATATATATGAATATATAATGAATGTACGTACACACACACACACACACACTGTATGTATAGGTGTGTTTGAGAGGTGCTTAGGTTGCAATCTGAACAATGCCCACTCAGAAGTAAGTCCTGCTTGAATTCAGTGGGGCTGCACTCCCCAGGTAAGTGGGGTTTGACCTGCAGCTTTCATCTCCAGCCACAAAAAACAAAAGGGCACGCTAAACTGTGGTTGATTGGTCTCCATAGCAACAGCAGCGCCAAAGTCCGGAAGGCAAAAAAAGAAGCAAGCCATCGCATGGCTTTCTGGGAGTTGTAGTTCTACATTTTATTTTGCTTTCCGGTTGCTGCTGTGTTCTCTCGGAAAAGGGCCCCGCGGAAAAAGCAGTCCTCCGGGACGCTAGGGGGCGGTAAAACCGCGCGGGTTTCCTTTGCGGCTGGCGCGGGGGATAAAGGAAGAGCCACGAGAGGCCTCGTGCTTGCGTGGGCTGGAGGGTGGGAACAGGGCTTGTGTGGGAGCTGCTGCTGCTGCTGCCAGTCGCTGGCCTTCCAGGTCCTTGGTTCTTAGTGCTCTCCCGGGAACCCCGCCAAGATGTTCAAAAAGTGAGTAAGGGGCGGGCAGGAAACGTGGGCAGGATTTTGACACCCGAAGGCCTCACAGCCTGGGGCTCTCTGGCTGTTCACAGAGGGATCCTGGGCATGTTAGTTCAGAATCGAGCCCCTCCCTCACCGTTCTCCTCAAAGAAAATATGCCTAGGATTTCATGTCTTTTTTTATTTTTACTGCTGATGACCTTAAATAAAGCATACTCAGGAGTATGACCTGCCAGAATCAAATGGACTCAAGTTGCTTAAAACCACAGACTCTGCATTCGCACCCTCGGGTGTGACTTAATCTTTTATGTACTGTGTTTTTTTTATTGCCCGAAGTGGTATCTGTGTACATCGGGAAGTCTCCTCTGAAAATCTTGTTCCCTTTGGCAGATTTGATGAAAAGGAGAATGTGTCCAACTGCATCCAACTAAAAACGTCTGTTATTAAAGGCATTAAGAACCAGCTGATAGACCAGTTTCCTGGGATCGAACCATGGCTAAACCAAATTATGCCAAAGAAAGACCCTGTGAAGATAGTACGTTGGTCAGTATTTCCTTTCACACTGTTTTCCAAGTAATATTGGTCTATTCATGTTTGCCGGTAATAATATCCAGTAATCCTGGAATATTGCTCTGTCATGGTTTTTATTTAGATGAGTGGATGTAAATATTGAAAGAGTTAAACCATTTAGTTTTGAGGAATACATGAAATAATGCAGGCATGCACAGTCTGAAATATTCACTTCCTTATTGCTCAGAACTGTGAAATTTCTCATAAATTTTGTATCTTCCAGTCATGAACATATAGAAATCCTCACAGTAAATGGAGAATTGTTGTTCTTCAGGCAAAGGGAAGGACCATTTTATCCCACGCTCAGATTACTTCATAAATGTAAGTGTGTTGGAGAAGACATGTTGCGTTGCAGTTGAAAGAGTGCAGCAGTGAGGTTGTCATAACTATTAAAGCATGCAATTTTTTCTGCACTCTGATATATGTAAATAGGTGGCTTCATAACTACAAGTGAGAAGTGAAAAGCCTACTGGCTCACTGCTTTGTATCTGTATTAAGTTGTACATTCTCCAGTGTTTTCAGTTGCTGTATTGTGCATTATGGGTATATTCATATACCACTGATGTGCTCTTCTGCTTATGTCCTTTATTTTGTTTAGTGTGCAACAGCTGCCTGCCCATTGCATTACATATTTATACTTCCCTTTTGCTTGCCTCCAACTTATACTTTGCCTTTTTGATTCAGTTATCTTCCTCCAGTGCATCCACTAAGTTGAGGGGAACAGAAGGTTAGCTACTACAGTTAGAGAGTGTAAAGCAGGGGTCAGCAAACTTTTTCAGGAGGGGGCCAGTCCACTGTTCCTCAGACCTTGTGGGGAGGGTGGACTATATTGGGGGGGGGGAATGAACAAATTCCTATGCCCCACAAATAACCCAGAGATGCATTTTAAATAAAAGCACACATTCTACTCATGTAAAAACACCAGGCAGGCCCCACAAATAACCCAGAGATGCATTTTAAATAAAAGGACACATTCTGCTCATGTAAAAACATGCTGATTCCCAGACTGTCCACGGGCTGGATTTCGAAGGCGATTGGGCCAGATTTGGCCCCCAGGCCTTAGTTTGCCTACCCATGGTGTAAAGAAACATGGAGGTGGATAAAAAGAGAGAATTACTACCTGTTCAATATGTGTGCAATTGCCACAACCCGGAAATGGCCAGAAAAGGGGTGGGAGTGGAGAGGGCTTATGCTCACTCCACTGACATTTGTGGGGGTCAGGAATGTAACCCCTGTACAAAATGGTCATTGCCTGCTTTAATTGCTGGTTTTGAACAGTGAGGGTTTGCAGTGCTTACTATTATATTATTTATTACATTTCCTTATTAGCCTTCATCTGAGGATCACCAGGCGGTTTACAATATAGAGAAACAAAAATACATAAGTTAGTAACAAAGAAATATAATACCTCCCAGTTTAAAAGGCCATAGGTTGTTTAATTAGCCAAAGGCCTGGCTGAAGAGGAATGTTGTTGCCTGGAGCCTAAAGCTATGTAACAAAGGCACCAGGCAATTCTCCCTGGGAAGAGCATTCCACAAGCGGGGAGCCATCACAAAAAAGGCCCATTCTCAGGTTACCACCCTCTGGACCTCTTGTGGAGGAGGCACACAAAGAAGGGCGTCAGATTACGATTGCTGGGTCTGGGTTGGTTCATATGGAAAGAGGCAGTCCTTGAGGTATTGTGGTCCTGAGATGTTGCTTTATAGGTCAAAACCAGCACTTTGAATTGGGCACGGAAACTAACTGGTAGCCAGCAGAGTTGTGAATGAATTGTTCCTTTTCTGCTGAAGGCTTTTTATGACTGCTTTTTTCAGTTTCATGACTTCTTTTTCTCAGTGTCATAGTTTATTTCGTAATTTGTTTACAGAATTAACATGAACGATCATGCAAGCTGCTTTGAAAATACCTAATTGAAATAAATGTTTGAATAAATCGATTTAAATTTCATCGATATGTATTAAGATTATAAATACCTAAAACCTACCAAGTGTAAGATCACTTTTTAGAGAATACATGGAAGTGGTGGAGTATTTTGCTGGTGACACCATTTTTCTTCCAATACAACTTCATGTATCTTTAAAGTACACGTTTGTATAATCTAAATGACGACTGTATTACATGTTCAGATAACAGTCAGTGTTGTATCTGTTCTAATTTTCCCCTGCCCCTTCTCAGATCCATTCATTCTACCACATCAACAAGTTGATAAAGGAGCCATTAAATTTGTACTTAGTGGAGCAAATATCATGTGCCCTGGTCTGACGTCTCCAGGAGCTAAACTTTATCCATCTGCTGCTGATACAATCGTGGTATCCTTGGATAGCTGCCCTGTGTTGCTCAATATTTCTTTTTCAATGTAGCATCTGACAGGGCAAGCTGTACTGAACATAAAGGGTTAGGGTTTTTTTTAAAGTTGCATTAAATGTTTAGGTTTTATAGTTCAGTGTGGTCATCTTTCCACATAAATGTTGACACAACTTGGGGGGACAGCAAACCATTGGATGATTGTAGAGGGTCCAGAGACTGGATTGGGTGAACTCCTTCCTCTACCTTTCCCTTGCATGCTTTGACTTCTTAGTTTGTTAGCTTGCTACTTAGTTTGATGTGAGCTGCTTTGTGAGACAATATTTATGTCTGAAAAGTGTGATTAAAAATACAAGTAAATTGGGTGCACATAGTTGGTTGCTTGGATGCGAAAGGGTTGAGGTTTTAGGGATTGAGAGTCTTGTATTTTTCAGTGCCTCTAGCTATACTATAAACCTAAATGTTCCATAGCTACAGGGAAAGGTTAGTTGCTTCAGCACGCTATTCTTGTGACCATTTTGAAATAGTGTTTCCCTTGTTAGTCTTTCTGCTGCTGTTCTTGTTGTCTTTTTTCATACTACATATCAGATGTTTTCCTTAGCTGGTGATTATAGGCAATAATGGCCGAAGGAAAGCAACATGCCCTGTGTGTTGGAGTCATGAAGATGTCGGCAGAGGATATGTGAGTTAATTTTCTAAGAAAAATAATGTACCTCTTTACTGTCATTGCCTGTTTTAGAGTGGGGTAGCTCAGGCCAACATGAAGGACTTGGGGAAAACTTCAGACTTATTTTGACTCAGACCCACAAACTCATCCAGCTGCCACAGTAACATGGAAATGTAGCAGTAATAGTAGCAGTAGGTAATACAATAAATATACTTTCTGCCAAGATACCCAAGATGGCTTATAGTTCTCAAATACTAAAGCAACTGGTCCAAAATGTAGAATAAAATTCTCTCAGGCTGTTGGTGCTCCCTTGAGGAGCTGATGCGATCCACAGCATCTACCTTCAAATAGGTCTTTCATTGTTTTTCACATCTCTGTGAATATCTAATATTGTCTGGTGATCATTCATGATGGTGTTGGCCCAGCCTTGTAAATAAGTCCACAAAAGTTGCTAAGCTGTGAAGTTACCTTTTGCACTAATTTGGTACAGCTGGCACCAAGAGTTCCTGTATGTCCACTCCCATGTCTGCATTTGGCTGCAGAGGAGGAGATGTCTCTCCTTGGGCAGCCTGCTTGGTTCTCTTCTGGGTGCAGAAGAGCATTGGAATGCTTTCTCTTTCTCTCTTTCTACCAGCCCACTTGCTTGCATGCAATTCCATGTCAATGTCACATATGACTACCAGGTGAACGCTTAAATACAAACTTGCATTGTCCTTTTCCATTACTGAATGACAAGGCTCTTCCCATCACCTCCAGTGTTTCACTTTAAATTTGTTCTTCTATTTCCAAAAGTATTGGAAAGAAGCATGCATTAGTGTCATATTTCAGACAAGTCTCATCTGATAGAAGTTGGATTTTAACAAAGAAAAATTACTAACATGATTATGATGCTGATAATGATAATGCTGTCACTTTATCTTGCCCTAGGCAACACAAAGCAACTTAAAACCAAACCAAACATAACCAAAACTGAGACATACAGGCAACTCTCTGTTTACGTGTGTTCTATATGTGTGTGACTGTTTTATGCATATCATGCCAAACCTGGAAGTGACCCAGAAACAACATAAAGCTTTCACTGAAACATCACTAAAAGGGCAGGGCAGAACAGGGAATTTGCTGGCTTTTTCAATGGGTTTGTTATACGTGATTTCACTGATGTGCGTGGTGCCACACAATGTAACCCCCATGCAAATGGGGCCTGCCTGTATTCAATTATTGCATAGATTTCCAAGTCTAGCAGAATTATAGGTTTCATTGGAATCTTTTATTATCCAAAACAAAGCAGTAGTTCCTTATGGGTGTAATTCAACTGCATATCAGTAATAGGAGTACTGTAAATTAATTTTCTGATCTAGGTTGAAAGCTCTCCTCCCCAAAGGAAGACTTTAGGTTTTTCTCCATTTACATAATTGTTCGGAAAACCCATAAATTATTCACTTTTCATTGGTTGCAACTGTACATCCTCTCCTCTTTTTTTCTTTAAGTGGCAACTAAATAGTGAAATGAAGCTCTTAGATGAAATGTGTATTTGCAATCTGTTTCATAAAAGATGCATATACTCAAAACTAAGATCCAGACATGGAATGTGGGCTTAACTATGAGTTTTGAGATTTCCCACAAAAATGAAATGTCCTCAGCTATAAATTTCCTCAGCCAGGATTTTGAAGTATATGCCTTAATAACATTCTATTGCACTTTTACTGCTAGCATTCTCTGAGCCCTTGAACAAATATGATGATGGATAGATCTTTTGTGGCTGGCTAGAGAGTTCGGGGAATCTTTTATTATTACATGAGATTGTGCCATTTATATCCCTTCCAATGAACTCAAGGTGATGTACATAGTCCTCTTCCCCACCCTTCCATTTCCCCCCTCTCAGCAACCTGATGATGTGTGTTGGGCTGAGAGATGGCAGTGTCACCTGGTGAACTTTATGTCTGGTGGGGCTTTGAACATGGGCCTCCCAGGACCTAATATTGGCAGTAACCAGCACACCATGCTGGTTTTGCACAGATCAGTAACTGGAGTTCCTTGCTCAGGTGATTTGCAAAACGAATTGCCTTCCAGACCAGCAGTAGATGTTCATCCAAATCTTCTTTCAATTGCATCTGTTAATAAGTGGTGGCAGTACTCCATATTATTTAATAAGAGGGGCTGTAGCTTAGTGGTTAAGCTTCTTATGCAGAAGGGCCCAGGATCTTGATAAAAGGATCTGAAATAGTGCTGGAAGAAAATCTTTGCCTAAGAGCCATGTCAGTCACTGTGCTTTAGCTAGCTACGTTATAGTATACCTATTGGCCTTAGGTTAGTCATGTCCACAAATTTTGAAGGGTCTACTCCAAGTATGATGTAGTTTGGTATAACACAGCGTTGGCAAGATGGACCAAGTAATCTGTTTTAGTATACAACAGTTTTAAATTACTGTATTTACTCAAATGTAATTTTTTGGCCAAATACACCACGAAAATTAGGGTGTGCATTAGATTCAATGGCGCATTAGATTTACATAAATACAGTATGTAATCTGATGTATGATGGTGATCAAATTAACTCCCCTGCTTCCCTCTCATCAACTATCCTTCCCTATAAACTATTAGGAATGTTTGAACAAGAAAAAAATGCACTCAAAATTATAAATAATAAAAAGAGCAAGTTTTCTGCTGAGACAGGATTAATATGCTGGAAGGAGGGAGGATGATTCACAGTTCTTATGCTTTAAAAGTGTAAAAGACACCCAAGGTGTGTATGTGTTTATAAAAAGTTCTCAATGTAGCCATTTCCCCCCCAAAATAAAATGCCCATAGTTTTGAGAGTTGTTATTAAGGATCAATGGAAAAAGTATTTGTCTTAATTTAACAAGTTGGTGTGAAGGCTAGTCCTGTTAGTTTACATTCTAAATACCTATCCTGGAGATCTGGAAATCAATGTTTGCTATTATCTTCCCCTCCTTTCCTCTGCAGTGAGAAGGTCAACAAAGGAATTGGCATTGAGAATATCCACTATTTAAATGATGGTCTCTGGCATATGAAGACGTATAAGTGAAGCAGCAGGAAGAATCCATTGCCTTTCATCTTGGCCTGTTTTTAATTCTTCTTTTAAAATGTGTGATTAAATGTAAACTTTGTGGTGATGCTAAATAAATCAAGTGAATGCTGAAATATCATCAGCTGAGATGGTTTTCTTTACACCTGTCCTTTGGCGTTTTAACTCTCATGAACTGTGGTGCCTACATCCATGAAATTGTCAAACCAAGTTTTTATGTGCTTCAGTAATAGCTAGTGTAATAAATGACTACTGCAAATAACCAGAGCATGTAGAAAACGAGTTGGTAATGTGCAGCCCACAATATCTGAATATAACCCTGATGCTTAAAAGCTTGCCCTTATTTTGTTGAGGCAAGTTCAAGGTTCTTCTATTAATTTGCAAAGCCTGGTTACCTGAAGAACTGGCTGATTCCTTATATCCCTGCCCTGTTATTCAGATATTTGAGGGGGCCTCTGTTAGTGGCTTATCCACCACGATCCATACATTCAGCGGTGTGATTCTGATTTTGCCCAACTCCCTCCTGCCTGAGATTAGACAGGTTCCCTCCCTGTTGAATTTCAGCTGCTTGCCAGAACCCTTTCTATTTCAGCAGGCATTTTAAGTAATTTGTACTACACCTGCTTATTGAACTTGAACTTGCCTTATTGGTTCTTTTAAAAACACAAATCAGTATTTTTATTTATTATTGCGACCATTTAGGGTGAAAGCACTTTATAAACAATGAAAATAAAATTTTTAAAAAGCTGCGAACCACAACAAATCATACACCCACAACTTCAGAGTGACGTCTATGAGGCAGCAGTTACTCCAGAGGCCTAATTTATTTGGAAACTGAAAAGCTTCAGAAACAATGATAGTAACTGCAAGATGCATCCAGGGCTCCATGATCAGGACTCTGTGCATACAATGGGCCTTCTATCTCTCCTTTCCCTACGTGCCCCAAATCTCTGCTCCAGAGGGTTCCCCAGCCCTGCAGGGGGGGAAGGAAAGGAGGGGGAGATTCTGATCCACAAGCAGAAGTCTCTTGCACTGGTGTAACTGGAGCTCTGGATACTCTAAGCCTGTTGCTAGTCTACTAGGCATGCAGTAGTTCTTGGAAACATGAAACTGCAGTGGATAAACTTTTAAAGCCCATGAGCTTCATTCCTTTTATCAGCAACCTGTGAGGCCAGAAGTCAAAGTGGGCAGAGCGATAGATGGCTATTCAGTAGGTTACAAGGCAGCGGTGTTGACCCTGCCCACCTCCATCCGGGCAAGTAAGTTGTTACAGTTCCAAGGATGCATCCCACTCACGGAAGAATACTCAAAGGATGGATCAAGTGAGCTGTGGCCTGGGAAGAGTCCTTAGGCTAGAGGACCAAATTTGACTCCTACACTTGAGGTTTCCGCTAGGTTAGGTTTTCATTACCTGCTGCCCCCTCAGTGCATCTATCTGCATTGCCACATATATTCTGACGGGAGTCTAGCAGTAAGAACTGGTGTAGGAATGGGGAGTAGTAGCCTCAGGGTGCCTAATGGAGTACGTACTTAACCACATTTTTACATGAATGACAAGAACAGAAATGTTTTATTTAAAAACGAACAATAAGGTTGAGCTCATCTCCCATCCCACCAAGTCAAAAGGAAATAACTGAAGGCTGTTTTAAAGGCATTATTTGTATTTTTCCATCCCCTTCGAGCATGAAAAGCTGCCACTGTGAAAGGATGGAAGACACACAAACCTCAAAACTGCAAAAAATAGATTTAATTTACAGTAGACTGAGGATGATTTTTCATTTTAAATATTCATATACCCACTAGAGATTTTTGTTGACAAGGAAACCTTGAACAATTTTTCAGAAGGCAACAACTCAAATTTCTAGGAGAGTTGTTGTTTTTAAGCCCCTACCCCTTTTCTCCACTTGTAAAGATTATAAAACCAGTTTGTGCAAAACATGTAGTTACATCATTACCTTCAAATACAAAATTTGGATCGGCTTATGTACATGCTGTTTGCTGAAGGATACTATACATTAAGACTACACATTTTACACCCTTCACATACAATCTCCTGAGGAACAAGTCTTAATCGTTATCAGAGCCTGGGGGAGGCAAGAAAACCAAGGCATCGTTGAAACTATGCCCATATGCTCTGAGTCTGTAAACTCCATACATCATAACGTGCATGTGATTAGGAGCTAATCCGCTGAAGGTGATAGCCATATCTGAACAACAGCCTTCCACCACCTCATCTGGGTGAACTGACATGGCCTCTTTAATGAGAGAGCCAACTGACTTGGTGTTGAAGATGTCCTTCTTTTCAGAGTCTTCTGCATTCTCAGCATGTACCCCAGTGTACTTCAAGCAGACAGCTAGCTGCTTATCCTCAGAGAGCTTCCAAATCATGCCCCCTTGTTCAGGACACTTGTCTGGATCCTCAAAAACTTTGTAAAGGCGCCTTAGTGACTCTATGCTTAAGACGATTCCTCCATCCCCGTTCACATACTGCAAGTCTCCAGATGTCTCTGTTCTGCCCGTGTAGAATGGCTGGGACGCGTCTTGTTTCAGCAAGAAATATTTTAGGTTTTCAATAACGGCGAATGTGGTAGGGTGGGCCAGGAAGAACCAGTTGAAGTCATCTCTGTAGTTTTCATATGCAAATTTGTATGCTTTTCTCATCATTGACCACATGTCATCTGTGTTTAGCACGATGGAGTCAAAGACTTTGACCTTCTCGGAACTGTAGAATTCTGCCTTGTCACAGTGTTTGCTCCATGTATCTTTAACAGCTGCCCAGTGCCCAAGATCCTTTGGTTTGACAAGGATGATGCAATACACACGGATGCTCTGGCTCAATTCCAGGCGCTCGTCCTCTGAGAGGTTTAAAACGTCCTCCTTTTTGGGAGCCTGGAGATGGCGGTGCTCGTGAGACGTAGTGCTGTGGCCCATCTTAATGTGTCCTAGAAGAGTGACCAAGACGCAGAAAATCCCTCCAAGCATCATGCCCTTCACAAATGAGCCGCTTTCGGAAATCATGTTTCCTAGGAGAGATCTGGGTGGGTGGGCAGGTGGGGGAAAAACACATGCTTTTTGCCAAACATATATACAAACAAATACCCCATCTGAATTTGTAACCAACTACGGCTGCAATCCTCAACACACTAAGGAGTAAATTGCATTGAGTATGGCAGGACTTTCTCCCAAGGAACCATAGCTCAATGAGCGCAGCACATGCTTTCCATGTGTGCACAATGGCTTGAGTTCAAGTTCCAGTGGCTTGTATCCAATGCAGCATTAAGTAACCATCCCCATCAGTGCAAGGATTTAACACTTGCAACAGGACTCCACCCCCTCTTTCTCCCCTGCATCTCCCCAAATCTATTCTGGAGTGTTAGGAGAACCCACCCAGAGCATGGTGAGGATTGGTGTGTGTTGAAGTATCATTGTGCAAGTGTAAATGATGGGATGGTTACTTAGTGTTAAACTGAATACTAGCCAGCATCTCCAGTTAGGTAGCAGGTGGTGGGACAGTGGCCTCCTGAGATGATGAAGAGCTGTTGCCAGTCAGAGGAGACAACACTAGGCTCAACAGACAAACTGTCTACCTCAGGGGTTGTCAACCTGGTCCCTACTGCTCAGGATTCTAGGTGGGCGGTGGGGATTCTACGGCACAAGCTGAATCCTACTTCCATTGAGCACTGGTGGGCGGTAAGGAAATTTTACCATGAAGAAAGATGCATTAGTGGGCAGTAGGTATTAAAAATGTTGACTACCCCTGGGTCTACCAGAAAAAGACATGAGGGAATCTAATAGAATCTTGTAAATGTTCTAGCTTCAGTGTCATATCTTAGGGAGGCAGCTGTTGCTTTCAAGTGCTTAAATGAATAGGAGGTTTAGCATGATATTTTTTCCCACAGGTGATAAGGAACAAACACTCATAACATAGCATAAAGTAGGATGATATTTCCTGTGCAGGAGTCTAGTGGTTATATGCAACTGAAGTCATACTCAGGGTAGAGCCACAAAAATCAAAGGACTAAAATAAGTCAAGTTGATTGATTTCAATAGGCATACTCTGAGAATGACATAGCTACATAAAATCCTAATATCTCTGTGAAAGGGAGGATGAGGAAAGAGAGCCTTTCATGCTGGCTTGTTGACAAAGACATTCTGGCACTGGCTAAACTGTGATAAAAGATAACAACCTCTTAATTGGAAAAAGTGGTCATTATACCAGCAATAGTCTAACAGCTACTTGAAGTGCAATCCTATGTTTAATTGGAATTACTTTTCAAACCGTTCAGTTGGGCTTACTATAGGAACCAGCTGCACTATTGCAGCTGTAGTAGCTTTTATCTCATATTCTTGAACTGTTCTTTAATTATATTTAAATACCCTTCTTCACCTTGGGGAGATTAGGTCACCATATATATGTGCTGCACATAGGGTGCAGCAGATAACTGGCCTTGCCTCCTGAGCCACTATGAACTATGAACTGAACATACCAAACACTCTCCTGCAGCTATGCAGCAGGGGAAATATTGATTATGGTAGGCAATGTGTCATTCAGGGAATGCCTGCTTTCCATTACTAGTCTTCTCAGAGAGCAACCCTGATAAGCTTCTAAGCAGCCACCACTCGTAACAAATTCCACAAACTCTACCAATGCTGGTGGTGGTGGGGAAAGAGGACTTGTATCAAGTGGGCAGAGGCATACCTAGGCTCACTTGTGCACTTGGCAAGCAGCTGTATCGCCTACCGCCCGACACCCTAGGGAAGGAGGTGTATCAGTGCCTTTGAGCCAGGCGACACCATGGACCAGAAACTCAAAAAGTTTGCTTTTCGTTGTCTTCCACTCTATGCCAGTGACTTCCTCTGTGGCCATCAGGGTTGGATCTGCTCTGCTCCCCCTCCTGTGTCTCCTCCATCTGTCCATCTGCCTGCCTGCCTCTCTCCGTACGCAGCTTTCCCTTCTGCCTCCTTCCTTCCTTTTTCTTCCTCCTGCAACTCTTGCCTGCTCTTCCTGTCTTTCTTCTCCCTCCCCAAGCTCTGCTGGGTGTTCCACTCACACTTCTAATAGCTGGCCGACTGGGGAGGGCCCCCCGTTGTGGTGGCCCACATCAGCAACCAGATTCCTCCATGGAGATGCCCGGAGCAGCCTGCATGCCTTGCCTGGCTATCCAGAGCAGTGGAGGAGTGCACAGATGGGTGGGCAGCCTCCTAGCCACTCAGAACCAGAGCTGAAAGGCATGATTTTGGCTCCCCCTTGGCAGAGCCCAACCTGGCCAACCCCTAGAAGTACCTGCAAGTGGGAAGTATGGAGTGTTATTCAATGTCAATCATACTCAGACCACACCTACTGAAATCAGTGGCCTTAACTGAACTCAAAACCATTGTTTCTGTAGGTCCACCTTGATTATGAAGTAGCTGAATATCACTCAACTTATTTCCACAAACCTGAAGGATCTTTGTTCTGATGTCACACAGTGCTCTGGTCAGTAGGTGGGTTTTCCAAAAGGAAAAAAAAATCAACAGCACTAAAAAAGAAGAAAAGAAGTGTGGCATGTTAATTTTATGCGCTGTATAAAAATCTGAAAGCTCGCACCACAAAACAGCCAGGCAAACCAAAGTATATATTCTGTTTTCATTTGGGATTTATACGTCAATGTTTTAAGACAATGATCATTCTCTGGCATACATATCTCTCATCTACTGTTTAGGAGTTTACAGGAGAGAAACGGAGTGACAGAAAACTGTTAGCAAAAGAAGGACACAACCCTATACTGCAGTTACCCTGCCTGAGGGGCTTTAGGAAGTGGCAGAATTTGGCAGATCTGGAGCAACAGTGCTGGTATGACATATTCGCTGATAGAACTTAATTGACACACCAGCAGAAAATTCCACCAGCAGCTAGCATAGTGGAGAAAAGCAAAGCAGGAACAAAGGTATAGTTCCAACATGCCCAATCTAGAAACAGTTGAACATGGAACAGAGGTCAACATTCTTTTCTTTGGCCAACATATATGGGCAGAACTATATAATGTTCCAAACAGCATTCCTACCTTGCATGACAAAGGGGTTCTTGCGTCCAGCTCTACAATTCTATGATCTATGAGACAAGATACTCCAGCTCCAAATAAATCAAGTTAATTTCAAGATTTATCTGGTCATGAAAGTCTTTTAAATAATTTTCACCTTAGCATTGTACATTCTGAGGGACAAAAAAATGCAGAGCATAGCTGCTGTGAAGCTAACATACCAATAGCAGATGCCCACACTTTTTGTTTTAATATCACCTAGTTATCCTTTAACTATGCTGTTGAAGCAGCAAAAAGCCACTGTACAATAATGTTCTTTATTTCTGGACACAGCGAGATAGAAATTTGCACTAGGGGATGACTGTTCCTCTAGACTGAAGATAAATTAGATATTGTGCATATGGCAAGAAAGAAGGACCTAAGGAAGGATTATACAGATTATTCAGCCTTCAGATGAAATCAGCAAAACACTGTTGGGTCTCGAACTGGTGGAGTGGGAGAAGAGAAACTACTTTTTTTCTTCTCTATATTTAGTTAAAGGTAAAGGACCCCTGACAGTTAAGTCCAGTCGCGAACGCCTCTGGGGTTGTGGCGCTCACCTTGCTTTACTGGCCAAGGAAGCCGAAGTTTGTCCGAAGACAGTTTTTTCAAGCCAGCATGTAGCCAGCATGACTAAGCCACTTCTGGGAAAACCAGAACAGCGCACAGAAACCAGAGTACCGCCAGAGTGGTACCTATTTATCTACTTGCACTTTGACGTGCTTTCAAACTGCTAGGTTGGCAGGAGCAGGGACCGAGCAATGGGAGCTCACCCCGTCATGGGGATTCAAACTGCTGACCTTCTGATCGGCAAGCCCTAGGCTCAGTGGTTTAGACCACAGCACCATCCGCGTCCCTTTCATATTTAGTTATATGTAACTAATAATTCCTTTTTTTAGTCCACCCTTGTATTTAAAATCTAAATACACTGCAGTTAGGAGGGTAGAACCTGTGGTCTTCTAGATGTTGCTGAACTACAACTCCCATCATCCTTGATCACTGGCCATGCTAGCTGAAGCTGATGGGAATTGGGAGTTCAACAAGACCCAAAGGTCCACAGTGCCTATCACTGCATTAGAAAGCTACTGTAGTCTAGTGGGTGAGAGTGTGAGTAGGAAGTCCCTAGCTGGTTCAAATCTTGGTTGGTTGAACAGCTTTGGATTCACAAGGTGATCTTAGGCAAGCAACTATTCTCTCGGCTCCCCTCATTGCCACCCTGTAATATGGGGATACCTATACTAACCTCTCTTGCCCAGTTGTTGTAAGGATGACTGAAGGCCTTGGAAAACATGACACATGGTATGCAGCAGCAAGACAAATAGGTTTGAGGCCTTAGAACAGCCTTCCTCAGCCTGGTGCCATCCAGATGTTTTGAACTACAACTTCATTTATCCCTGACCATAGTCCATGGCGCCTGGGACTGATGGGAGCTGGAGTCCAGCAATATCTGGACTGCATCACTTTGGGGGAAGACTGCTTTAGAGGCTGATTTTGGCATTCATTTCACAGGCCACTCCCTTGTTGTCAGTGTCCTAAGGCAGCCTTAAAAGTTTCAAAAGCAGATGTGTGCGAATATACTCCTTTTTTGGGGGTAAAATCAAGCCCACAAAGATGGAGATGATCCGCCCCCTTCCCTGCTCCCTCTCTCCTACTTAAGGCAGTTTGCATCTCCCAGCCCTGTGCTGGGATCTGGTCTTCATGCAGCATCTGTGCCTCAATAATAAGTTTGAATGTGTGTGGTATAGTCCTAGAAAGGCTGTGACTCAGTGGGAGAGCATCTGCTTTGCATGCATAAGGTCCCAGGTTCAATCCCCAATCGCATCTCTAGGTAGGGCTGGGGGACTTCTTGTCTTGAACTCTGGACAGCCTCTGCCTGCCAGTGTAGAGAATATTTACCTAGATGGACCAACGGTGCGACTTTGTATAAGACAGTTTCCTTTGTTCAGCTCATTAAACGGATGCACACATGCACAAAGCTTTCAAGGAGGCCACTGAAATGAGGGTTGGGGGTGAGGAAAAGACAATGTGGTACAGCAGAAGGAGCATCAAAACGAGGAATGGTGGTGGTGGTGGCGGCCGGGGTGGGGGGACAGAGTCAGAATACTTGTGTTTTAGACTTTTTTTGTGGTGGTGCCCTGCCTTTATAAGGAAGTTCAACTTGAATAATCACCACAAACTTTTTGCCACCTGTTCACATGATTATTGTTTGCTTAGGCATTTCGAACTGACTGTTGCCTGCTTTGCAGTGCTATAATAATTTGTAGCCTCTCGTTTTTTCCGCAGGGAGGATGTGACATTGCATTCTTATTACTGTATTATTACTATTCTCCAGCCTGCCAATTATTGTCTACAGCCCTCTGCAATTTGTCAGGATGAAGAACAGTTTAGGGTTTTGGTTTTTTTTAAATTTAAAAAACCCCCAGCCATCACCCACTCAGCCATGAAACCCATGGTCTCTCTCAGCTTAAACCTACCTCAAAGGGTGGTTGTGAACATAAAATGGAGGTTTGGGGGGGGGAGATGAAAGAAACGGCTGTATTACCCCAAGCTCCTTGCAGGAAAGCAGGGACAGAATATGAATATCTACCCATTCAGCCACGAGGCCTACTAGGCCTGCCAACCATATCCCTCAACCTAACTTAACCTAGCCTACCTCGCAGGGCTGTTGTGGAGATAAAACAGAGAGGGGAGGAAGGGAGAAGGATGGGATGCGAATGCCATGATAATTAGCAAATGCTTAAAAGTGTCCCTGCATCAGGGAAGGGGAGGAAGGGGAGGCCCCCACCCCACTGACATCGTAAGACTCACCTAGATAGGATGGCAATAGCAGGAGCTGGGCCAAGAGAAGCCACCACCGACCTCCACTTTCCCCCTCCCGCTCTAGGAAGAAAAACCGGATCCGCTTCCGCTCTCTATGGTGGAACCCGCAGCTCCGCCTTGGCCACGCCCCCCACGCGGACGCGTTTCTGGAAGGGAGGGCTTGGGAGGAGAAAGCGTGACGCAACTAGCCTCTTAGAGGTAGAAAGAAAAGAGCTCTCTGTGCACGCTTATCATTTCCGGTACTTATTCGAGCGCTTTTTAAAATAATATAAAATAATAATCTAATAATATTATTATTTAATAATAATATGAAATAAGTCTTATTTCATCTTGGACATTCTCATTCCAGTTTCCAGATGGGTAGAACTTTCCCCTCCCACGTTTTGCATGAGAAAGTGGCTGACTCAGGGTCGCCTAGTGAGGGATAATATGAACCCAGGTCCAAATCATAAGAACCTCTCCACTACAGTATTTATCTCCGCTACAGTATTTATTTGCATTGGGAAACCGGAAGTGTTTCTACAGTGGCATTAAATCTATGACCCCTTTGGGACCGGTCTAACTCCTCGAGTCTCCCTTCCCGCGTGCCAGTTCACTTGCGCATGCGTCTTCTTTTTTCAGGCTGTGACGCTTCAGCTGCCTCTCCCTCATTCACCACCGGTGTTGCCACGGAAACAGTTCAGGAGCAATCATCATGGTGGGCGTGGCGTCTTTAAATCGACTCGACAGAAGGGAGGGGAAATAAACATGCTGTATTTAAATAAAACTGCCTCGTACAGGGCTGCATATGCCTGAGCATGTGCACAGTTCAGTTCCACCAAGTACAGATTCACTTAGGTCAGAGCATCTTTGAGCATGTGAAGAGTTCCCTACCAGCCATGTAGAAATTCACCCAGGCCTGCATATCTGTAGGACGTGCAGATTTCCTTCCCACTATGTAGAAATCTCTGAGTACGTGCAGAGTTCCTTTCCACAAAGCAGAATTAATCATTTTTATTTATTTTTAAGGGTGGGTAAGGAGTTGATGAACATGTGCAGAAGGCCTTGCCTTTGAAAAGGAACTGCTCCTTTGCCTGCTCAGAGATTGAGTCTAGTGTGAAATCTAGACCTCATTCTCTGCTAGCCAGTTGTCCTTCCTACAATGGATAGCATAGAAGTCAACTCCTCTCTCAGATATTGCTCTGCCTGGCTAGCAGCCTGCTTGAGATATGATGGCCATGATAATGCTCCTAATACAAATGCAGTCATCTGCCCCAGGCATCTTCATTCCCTGCCCCGTATATTAGGGGTTGCAGGTGGATTCTGATCTATTGATGGGCCACTGCCCAATTGCAGCTGGATCACCTAGTGCTGTTACGTACAGTGGTACCTCGGGTTACATACGCTTCAGGTTACATACGCTTCAGGTTACATACGCTTCAGGTTACATACGCTTCAGGTTTACAGATTCTGCTAACCCAGAAATAGTACCTCTGGTTAAGAACTTTGCTTCAGGATGAGAACAGAAATTGTGTGGTGGCAGCGGGAGGCCCCATTAGCTAAAGTGGTGCTTCAGGTTAAGAACAGTTTCAGGTTAAGAACGGACCTCCAGAACGAATTAAGTTCTTAACCTGAGGTACCACTGTATATATAAACATATGCATCAACCACCCACTATAAAACATACCAAGGTGGTGTACAGCAACATTATACAAATACTGTATATAAAATACCGTATCGCGGTGGCTATATGGGAGCTCCAGTTTCAGACACAATATGCCACTGAATACAAACTGCCTGGGAACAACAGCAGAGGTAGACTATTGTGCTTATGCCCTGCTTGTGGGCTTCCTGAAGACATTGGTTGACTTCTGTCATTAGAAGCAAGCAGGACTAGACAAAGAACAGATCTTCCTACATTTTGCTGGCTGCTGCCAAGTACCTGGTGGGTCACAAGTCATGCAGGCCTTGTGAGCTGGATTCAGCTAAGTGGTCCCACTAGCTAGCAGAAGCCTATGCAAGGACCTCTGCTAGTGTAACAGGCTTCCGGGCTTCAACCCCTCACCCCCGCAAATTGGTGTGTGTGTGTGTCTGTCCGGAGAACCCTCAGAATGGTGCATTGAGGGAGCAGAGGGAGATAATTGTCCATTGTCATTTAATCCAAGGCATGTATAGCCATTCCCCTCCCCACCTTGAGTGATCTAGGCACCAAGGAGCAGGCATCCAATGACACCAGTTTGTTGGAAGGCTGTGACAAAATGCCACTGTGGCTTTCTTTAAATATCAGTATCTTGCCCAAATTAAGCTATTTGCCTTAATGCGTCTCAATGGCAAATATAACAAAGGAAACAGATGTCATAAATGGCTCCACAGACTACACCTGTAGGGAACTTTTGGTTCTCCAGGTGTTGCTGTGTCACAAAGCCCATCAGCCTCAGCAAGCATAGCCAGTGACCAGGGATGTTGGGAGAGGTAGTTTAGAAATGTCAGGAGGGCTGAAGCTATAGGCACACATATAACATTCAAGCTAGTCTCCATCTCTTCAATCCACAATAGTTTCACTAACATTTTATATTTGGGCAAAAGTCAAGAAAACAGCCGACTGTTGTCGTCTCAACTCTCCTAGAGTTCTCTTTCATGTAATGTGGAGCAGATTACAGAAAACAGCTAAAGCTAAATATTTATTTAAGAGGGCATCTGCGTGAGCTTTCTAACTGATGAATAGCATTAGGAGTCTATGATGCCCGTCCAGTTCACAGAAGAACTGAAGGAGGAGGTTCACTGATAACTTTGAAGCAACAGAGGAGTGACTGGCTACTGCCATGGGCCATATCTAATCTGGCAAACCGCAGACAAGTCATAGAATCATAAAAGCGTAAAATGTTAAACAGTGAAAGCATCCAAATCTAACTTGAAAAGCTTCTGTTTTCCTTTCTTCCCTCTTGAGAAAACCATCCATAACAGTAATTATTACATTTCTAAGACAATAATGTGCTCTAGTTCCCAAGCAGGATATAATTTTGTAAATCTTTGAATATGAACAGTAATATGGAGCTTTTTCTTTCTTTCTTATGCCAGGCAGAAAAATTAAATAGGTGTATGTTTCTAAGTGTGTTGAGGGGGAGATGGATGAAAATGCTTTTAGAATGCAGGTATTAAGTCTGATGAATATCAAAATAGTGTTTCTTATTATGTGCCACACACCTTGCCACCCTTCAACAGTCAAGGAGGGAGAGAGGGCAGGAATGGGTGCTGCAGTGCAACATTAATCCAAGGTAAGGTACAGGAGATTTTGAAGGGGCTTCAGAGATTGCACTGAGCACAGCCAAGTTTAGAAAGATCAGGTGGTGGGAAAGTCCTTTGTTTGAGATGCTGGAAACCTGCTGCCAGTTACTACTTGCCTTGATCATCCCCCACACCTGTAATATTTGGACATAATATTCCAGATTTGCCTTTCAGGGCTGCTGCAAGGAGCATAATGTACACAAAATGTATTAAACGCTTGAAAGCACCATATAAATGTTTACTATAATAGAATAATCTGACTTGGTATAGGGCAGATCCTGTGATCCATCACTTGTTAAAACCTTGATACAGGGCTCTGCTCTGCATTTTTTTTTTTTTTTTAAACAGGAGGTTAGAACACCCTCAAGCAGCAAAACTCAAGGCTTTTTGTTACAGCTCCAAGATATATCAAGTTCATCTACGGACCTCATTCCTGACCTTCGGGGGTGTGGGAAGAGCAAAGCTCCTTTGTTCTGCCAGACTTTTGGTAAAAAAAAAAGGCAGAATAGCTCAGCTGTTGAGGGTACTGATTTTTGTTTCTTGTGATTCTTAGCTCTTTCTTTTTAGGGTGTATCTAAGCATATAACAAATAGGCATATTTGTGTTTACATGAACAAAATTTTGTATCTTAGTCAAGAAGTGGGAAGGTGGCCAGAGGAATAGTAGGCATACATCTAAATCAACAGGGAATTGGACTAGACAACCCTTAGGATTCATTCTAACGTTACAATTCTAAGATAATATGTCTAGGGGAACAAGACTAAGGGTATAAAGTAAGTGTATACATCTCCTTGCCTGCACCCAAGCAAACATGCATACATCCTTCATTTAAAAAGCAACATATATCACTTTGGCCAGGAATTCCCATCACACCTGGCCAGTGAGGTCAGAGGTGGCAACTGTCCAAAGCTGCTCCCATCTCAGGGCCTAGAGCCCAGCATCCAGAGATAAACACAGCATCAAAGCAAGAAAATCAGCATAGATCAAAGCAAAAGAATATAAACACATATGAGCTCATTCTCACAACAACTACCAATTAGTTTGGGGTTATTCTGACTACCAAGATAGCGTTAAGGTGCATTATCTGAATGTTCCAAGCAGTAATCATTTCTGTAGAACTTTCTGTTTGTTAATCCTTTCGGTAGAACCTTGTAGTCTGCTAAGTGCTTTCAACACATTTTTCTTTCAAGCCTCCTTGCGGCGCTGGGAGGGAGGGATTGCTCATGGCTTCAGCGACACACCAATGGCGACACACCAGTCCTGGCAAATACTTAGGCATTTATCTCTCTCCAGCAAATGTCTGTGATTGCTGGTTGGCATTTGACCTCCCGCCTTCCCTTTTATGAGGTGGGCAGAAGAGGACCTACAAAAACTGCAAAAAGGAACTTGTTTAAGGGCCTGAAGGAGTCCATAATGGCCTGGGAAGGTCAAAGTTTGGGACAGGGAATATATGGCCCATACCCATCCAGTTGCTGCGAGGCCAATTGATTGCTTGTTGCCTAAACATTCCCCAAGTGAATTAAATTTAAAAACATAAATACACCATACCATTAAAAAGTTCCTGTAAAACGCCAATATTTTCATATGCCTATAACTCATTAATGCACATACATGCTCATATGCACACACATGTTCATATCTACCCACAAATGCATATCTATAAAGACAACACACACCCTCCATAAAAGCCACAGGAAGCCTTGGTAGCACACTAACTGTAGAATCATAGAACTGTAGGGTTGGAAGGGACCTTGAGTGTCATCTAGTCCAACCTCCTGTATTGTAGGAATCTTTTTGCCCAGCATGAAGCTTGAACCCACAACCCT